AGCTTATAGGCACTTTACGCTTGCAAGTGTGACACAATAAAGATTCCATGCCATGTTACTCGTTGCTTCAAAAGCGACTTCGATCATTTTACGTCCCGCTATGTCGTGAACAGAGTGGCCGTTTTGTCCCGCGGGCCTCCTACGCATTCAGCGGTTTCTTTATATTTGACAGAGTACGCGTACTTCTGTTGTCATCGAACGTACGTCGACATTTGGCAGCATGTGCCAATATGTGCGAGTGATTTTGACCGCTCGTGCTTTAAAACACTAAATCGCGGTGGTTCTAAAAAAAGTTACTGCATGTTTGAAAGCATAATCGCATGCTGCGTTCTCGAAACACACCTCTTATACCATTCTTCGTGTTAGCCCACTTCCACTTCTCTCTTCGTTCTGTGAAATGCTCGAAATGTCATATATCCACTCGCAAATAAAAAAGAAAAATGGCAGCATATCCACGGAGTGAATGATGGAGAGTGGGGCGAAGAATTCGTCCGTCCATGCGTCCGTCAGTGTGACCGTCCATGCGTCCATCAGCCCGTCCGTGCGTGCATCTGTTCGTGCGACCGTCCCTGCGTTCGTCCATGCAGCCGCCCCTGCGTCCGTTCATGCGTCCATCCATGCATCTGTTTATGTGTCCGTTCGTCCATCTATTCAACACTCCAAGTACCACCATCTCGCATCTTTTCATCATATATTCCGCATATAGAAGCACCGCCATCCAGCGGACATTCGACTGACTAAACGAGAGGTGGCACACGCACACTTTCTTACGGCTTGCGCTTCGGGTCCACTTCCCACCTATAACCACCTCGAGTTCATGGTATATACTAGTTCACTGTATTCATGGCACTGCGGCCGAACGCTCGCTAAACCTTTCGAAAACCAAGGATGTTACGCCCAGCGAGTATGACGTAGCAAACTTTTTCAGTCAGATAGTGCTCAATGTACATGCCAATGGCTGCTAATGGTGATCGCAGCCTGAACGATAACTAAAAGCCGAATGCTCCTGTCTCTCATTCCCCATTAGCAGCCATTGACATGTACATTGAGCACTATTTTTTATTGTTCAACAACAAACAGAAGAAGTCCCTCACCGGCACCACCTTGGAGGTCAAAATGCTATACTTGTTACATACTACGGGGGACGAACGGGTGCCGCTATAAGGAGCTTTGCCCCTAAAAAAAAGAAGAACCAAGTCACTTAACAGGCGGCAACAAACGCGTCGCAGAATTGCACGCGTTTCCTCCCCGACTATACACTGCGCATGCAGTAGGCTCCTTGACGCAACGAACCGGAAGTACCGTAGCAGACGACGCGCCGTTTTGCTATCCACCTATTTGCATTTGGTAAATACGCACGTATCTCCATTTGCAATATGAATAAAGACACTAACCAAAAGAAGCAACTGAAAGGGCGAAAATCTCCGGGGCCATTCGTCACTAGCCATTGGCGGATCCAGAGGATGAGGGGGGGGGGGGGGGGGGGCATTAAAAGTAAAGACCACTGTGGGCACGATTGACGCAAGTTAACACAACTTAACAATATTTACGCTGTGATAAGGTATTTGTGATAGTGACCACTAAATACAAAAAAACAGGACCCACGTTTTTTTTTCTAGCAACCCTCCACCCTCAAATTGTACAGCTGGATCCGCCCCTGTCTCTAGTTGATAAAGCTAGCTTGTACCACTGATAGTAATATTAATGAGATCTAACAGACAATCATGTCCTTGACATGATTGTCTGTTAGGTCTCGTTAATATTCTAACAAAGAGAACGAGCTCTCAAGTGTGCACTTATTTCCTTCATTGACAGTAATATACATGCATATATATAATTAACTAAATAGATCTAGTATATACTTCATCGCTTTCCAATTATGTGTATACCCAAGTTTCATGCATTTAGGTGTTAAATAACGGACGTAGGAAGGCTTGCCTCGAACTCAGTGTTGTGCGATGCTCGCTCGTGCTTTAGAGTTGCAGCGCGCCGAAATAACTGAAACTTTTTTTGCACCAGCAGTTTGCTTCGCTGAGCTTCCGACTTTTCTGAAGCATGTGCGGGAGGGGAGAGGCTTTACGGGTCCTTAATTTTCGGGAAACCGTGACCCTTCACAAATGGATGAGAGGGGTTTATTGCAACCAATGCACATCCGCTTGCGGACGGCTCCCTTTGCACCACACGGTTATATCCTGGGCTGTGACGAAGGTACAGTGTACTAACGAGGGTGCTAGAAACGGTTAGAGCAGGTTAGAGTGACCGGAAAATGTTTCAGTAACTGTAGTGGCGGTTCTTACACAGCGTCGCCTGGGCAGCGCCTTTCGTCTTACCGAGGTTCGCCTGACGATTCCCGCAACACCGACGAAGCGCCGTGCCGTTTGAAGTGTCGACTGCAGGTGTTACCTAATGCGGTCGAGGTTGCAGCCGTATAAGAGTCGAATATGAGCGTGTACCACTCTAGTCGGGGCGAATTCGGGGAAAGAAAATGCCTGTTGAATCCTGGCGCCATTTTGTGAGACAGGTGATCCTTGTTGCCAGACCGGAGTGAGTCGCCGGTTGCTCTTGGACTGAGACGTTACATTTTCCTTTCAAAATCTCGGAGAACACAAGCGATGTGTTCGCGTCTTCACGTATTCCAGTCATACGCGCCGAAGCGTGTTATACTACGCAAGCGATCTTGAACAGATTTTTTTAAGATGGAGACAAACTAAAGAAAAAAAGACGCGCAGGCTGGCGGCAGTCTGCTGGCAGCGAAATGTCTCGCAACACTCCAGCTCGTGTGACCGAGGCGAGGGATCACTGCATTGCGATCACAATGGCTGGTAGTTAAAATCTATGCGATTACAACTTTCGGATCAAACATGAAAACGATAAAAGAAAAAGCAGGGAATTAATGGCCCGGTGAAATAGGATAGGCTACGCAGCCGTAAATTGTAGTAAGTAGGCGTCGACCGTTTCACCAGGATGACCTCACAGTTAATAACATCCTTTGCCTTCAGGTATAGAGTTTCATACAATAATATTGTAATTATATGAAACCCTATGCCTTCAGGACACCCGTGAATCCCCCGCGAGAGTTACGTCAGCTTAGACACCGATTATACAGATGCATCTATCAATGTCTTAAATGCCCAATAAAACGCGATAAATGACCGTCGGCATGTGATGCCAAAAATAAAAAAAGACGATATAACGTCACCATAAGATGCTGTTATGACGGCACTTAACATGACGTCACGTGATGGTGTCATCACATGAGAAACTCTATGGCCGCTTGGTCAAAGGTGGGCCAATCTCGGAGGCAGAGCAAAGCCACGTTGGATTCAGAAAGCTTTCGGAATCAGGGGGGAGCGGGGTGTCATGGCAAAACGGCGAAATCTTATCCATCGCATATCGGTAGATGCGCAGGGTTTCTCAATATCCTTCATACACTCTCATCCATATCCTCTCTAAAGTGTCCAAACCATATATATCCTCTCACCCATGCCACTTTTCTATCAAGAATGCTATATCACGCTGATAACACTTGCGATGTACGTGACCTCTCTCGACTGGCGGTCCGAGAGGCGGGAGATGACGGTGCATGGCTCGGCGGCATGGTTAAAAGAAAGACCCTACTGTCCAAAAAAAAAAAAAAAATATTCAGGGACTTTCGGCAAAGCTAGGAAGCCCCCTCTCCCTGCCCCCTTTCCGTGCGCGCACCTTGACAGACTTGTTCGGAATGCTTTGGAACGTGGGCCAAGGAAGAAAGCCTCTACAGGGCAGCATAAGGGCTCATCCAGGGTAGATGACATGTCTATTCGCACGCGGGGTCAGTGCATGCACCAGCACGACATTACATGGTCTGACTTCCCGCAACATTCGCCAGACCTGTGGTGCTATCCCATAAATTTTGCTTACTAAGTGCAGTGAACTTGAGAGAGATCGTCAATGTTTCGTTGAAGCACTCCGACATTTAGGAACACCACACACAGTGTAAACGATAGTGTTTCCAAGTGGTCACTGGCTATTCAGGAAACAAGTTTTTTTTTTTTAGTGTTACAGACTTCGCATGTGACTGGTGATGAGCTACACTTATGCTGGGGTGTGGTACGACGATAAGAGGGTTCAACAAAAAACTGTATGTGAAATAACTCGCATACAGTTTTTCATAAACTGAAACAAAACAACAGGGCAGGGCAATTGCCTGTAAATGTTACAAGGCTAGGTACGCCAGCAATGTACAAAATTATCATCTAGGCAAATGTGTAAGAGACCGCATGACTTTTTGCTTGTTGAACCATTATAAAGATGCACCTTTTCTCAGGAGGGCCAAAAACATCGCCATGCTGGCCTGCCTGTAGGAATACAAAGGCCTGAGTCAAAGCTTCAGCAAAGCATTTATGGGGGTCATGCCGATTCACAGCCCAGGAAGGACTATGGCAGCGCCCAGGGAGCAGTTTTTGAAGGGGTCTATATGCGACTTTTGAATAAGCCATACAGAGGCATATATGTGATTATCATTATACGACGGTGCGATGGTTCAGAGATGGCAAGAAGCAAATCTTCCAGCCGACAAGAATAGCATGGTGCAGAAGCTAAGTCGTTGTGTCTTAGTTGTATCGCAAGACCATTTAAATTTTCAGTGAGCAAAACCTAAGCGCAGATGCAAAACTTTTTCAGGGCTTTTCCTAGTCATATGATGCTAGTTGCACAATGATACAGGCTGCAAGGGAAATTTGACAATTACTTTGGTAGGTTGCAGAGCATACAAATAGACACATGGATATCAGGCAAGTATTAAGGGCGCGTTCAGACTATATTCCGCACAAATTATATATGGCAGTAAAAAACCAACTTGTTTGTCGCATTTAGGGTGTCCCGACTTCTTTCTCGTGTCCGTGTTTGCACGCCCTCTCCATAATTAAGAATCTGCTGTCTAGATTCTCCAAGAGTGTTCAGAACTACTAACAAAAATCATGCTCCAGGTCTGAATAAGTGAAATGGACCAAGACACAGGCTCTTGTTCTCACGGCAGCTGTATTTTATTTACTGGAATGGAGAGCAGCAAGAAAGAAAAAAATATTATATAGTGTCTCTCACAAATAAAATAAATCCACTGCCAGAAGCTATACAAACGTTGCAGCACCACAAGAATCCCGACACAAGATCAACGGAACTGCAGAGCACTGATGCGCAAGCCGATGGTATCCTTGCCAACCTCGGCCACGGAACACACACCGCACACGATGCCTTTGAACTCTGGGAGGTAGCTGGCTCCACACAATGGGCACTTAGCTTCTGGCTTTCCTCTGTAGATGGGAACGTAGCTCTTGCCGCACAGTGCAAACGGGTTGTGCTCGTCATACCGCAATTCGTGCGCATCTGTCGGCGTCTTGTCGCAAGCCTGGAGGATCTTCCTGGTCTGTGAGGCCACGTCTGGGCGCGGTCCCAGTTCCAAAAGCCGCCTGCCGAAGGATGCCGCTGTCTTGTAGTTCTTCAACTTGAAGAAAAGGTTGAGCGCAGTGCGGAGGGTCAGGATCTGGTGGACCGGCTGCAAGTTGCAGTGGGTGAAGTACGCGGCCATTTCACAGGCCCGCTTCTGCTGGTCCAACGTCTCCTTGGGAAGCGCCTTTCGTTCGGTCTCCAGGGAGAGACCCAGGATGTACTCGCGGCACACCTCTATGAGCTGCTGGGCCTCCGCCATCTCCTGTCTCGTGTCGACGGCCAAAAGGAGGACCGAGAGCAGAAGGGCTCGGAACTTCTCGACAGCCTCTGAGAACTTGCCAGATGTCGTCAGCTGGTAGCACACTTGCAGACGGTCCAGCAGGTCTGATAGTTTGCAGCCGATGGCCGGAAGTGCGCTCTTGGTGGAACTGGCATCCCTCCAGTTCCGAAGAGGATGTCCGTACAGACAGGGCAGCTCGGGCAAGCCTTGGAACGCCGTGCGGGAACGTGCGAAGGTTGCCATGAAAAGTGGTCGCAGTGGCTCAAAGACAACTGCGCCGACCTGGTCATGAAGCAGACGGAAGGCAGACTCGAATGACCCGGCCAAGACGTGGTCGACGGCGAGCTTCGAGTTGTTGACCCACTGCTGGCTTTGGGAGACGCCCTTGGTTGGGGCCACGAAATAGCCCTCGTCCCCAGCACCAGGAGCGGGTCCCGTCGCTTCAGCGAGCTCAGGTGGTAGCTCAATGTCCTCATCCACGTCCCAACCACCTTCTCCAGCTTCGCCGGCTTCAAGCGGCTCCTTTTCGCCAGCTGCGCCTTCCTCGTCCAGAGCAAGTTCGGCATCATCACCCCAACCTAAGATATCAAAAAAGGAAATTACATTAGCACTATTTCTTTCATTTGTGAAATAAAAATTTTATTAAGTAGTGAAGTAGCGTTGCACACTAGAATGAGGCAGAAACTATGGTACATGAGAAAAAAAGAACCTTCCAGAACAAACAACAGTACAGTTGTAAAAATAACACACATTCAGTTTCGGTACCCACAAAATATAGTCATTGAATGATCCTTCAGTTACTAGCTACACCTCAGTTGCATATACTGTGGTCACATTGTGGCAACATAATTTTTTTAACATCTTTGAAAGCACCTAACCACATTTAGAATCTCGCACTCGCTACTGGCACATCCGTTGCTGCAGCTAAACTCTAACTGAACCGAACTTGAAGGGCTGAGAAAATATGTTATAACAGTACTGCCATTTACTCAGAGATAAACAGAGGTTTGGGATCTACATACCAATTATGTTAAGAAGTAGTTGTCCCAATTAAGGATCCTTTTCGTTCAACAGATTTTCATTCACAAAGAGTACCCTGCAGTACCGTCAAGACAAAACCTTGATGCTTTCCTGATAGGGATGGGCGCATACTCGAGCACTTCGAATATTTGAACTAATAGTACAGTATTCAAATTCGCGTCAACATGATATTAAGTCGTTCAAAATTAAAGTATCCGAAAGTATGAATACTATATGCGCATTTGAGTTCATGTTGTGCCCCTCTAAGTAGTTCCCCTACACCGAGGTGGTGTTGTGCCATGACACCAATGTTCTGAGAAAATACGCACTGCTGCAAAGCCGCTTTCGAAGGTTAAAGTAAGTATACATACACTACAATACACCATTAAGGGAACCATAGAGTGAGAATGTTTTATATTACCAGTACACTAACGGCAAGTGGTAGAGGAAAGATTCTCTGTATACTGCACTCATCTGTCGAAAGGGTCATATTCTTCAACCACGAATATTCTTACCGTATTCACTCACATAATCCTCACACTTTTTTCGGTGAAAAACCAATGCAAAGTTGAGGGGTGCAAAATTACGTGGGGAAAACTTTCAACGAAAACGTACGGAGCGAAAAAGAAAATGAAGTGGCCGCAAATCAGGATTCTCACACCAGCAACTAACAGCAAGCTTTGAAAAGTACTAATTAAAATTTACCTCAACAATAAAAGCATAGGTTCAACACAAGGCAAGATTTAGTTAAGACACAAAAAGTGCAAGCAAATAGTCGAGAATTAGAATATCATATGCAAAGCTTGTGGGCGTTGCGGTAGCGTTCGTCACTCAACCAGAGCCCTCAAAAGGTAGGCGTAGGATGTCAGTATTGGGATGATGGCCATGTAACAGAATCGTCCGCAGTTACCTTCTGAAGAAATAAAGTTTACCATCAATCTCAGTCTTAGACACACGGCAGGCCCAACGCGTCTTGGTGGCTTTCAGCTGCCGTCACCAGTAGCGAACACAAAACTCGTCGACTCCAAAGGGCCTACCGGCGGCCCTGTTGCCGTTGTTTAGTGCATGATAAATCACTTTCAACTTTAAAGCAGTCGTGCAGCTTCAGTATTGCCCCATGACGTGACAAGATCATCGACACAACATACAAAACACGCCGCAACGTGCACTGGCCGCTTTGGCTTGGCTTGGATTGGATTGAATCTCCGTGCAATAATAGTACGCTTGATGCTTAAGAGATGGCGTCAGACGGTGCGTGCTATCATCATCAACAGCTGGAACGAGCAGACGACGTTATTGCAGCAATTTTCGGGGGTGCGATAATTACTCGAGGAAAAAAAAAATCTTACGCTTGTTGGGCGATGTGGGGGGTGCGAGAATTATGCGAGTGCGAGGATTACGCGAGTAAATACGGTACTTCAATCTGAACAACTATATTTTCACAGGAGAGCCAAATAGAGGCACACCCTTCATGTATACGTTCCCATTAAAAGTAGATCCTTCTGTACTTTCACTTCAGTTACTTTTGAAGTTGAAAGCTGCATTAAAAGGACTTACAAGCACCGAGTTTGGTAAATTTTAGAGCGTACTGTATTGTACTAATTGTAACTTGCACCCTACTGCCATTCAACCTTACAACATTCCAAGTTGCTTCCACATCTCTTCCAACCAAAAAGTGACATTCATACATGCAGAGTTCTGATTCTTATATTGAGCTTGTTAGTTGGGTCATGAAAAAAATTCTGATTTTTCATTTTTCATAATACTTTAGAATATACACCATACATACTATTCAAGCTATTCAACTTGAAATTTTTCAAACAAATCACTATTCGCTTTGAGCCTCAAGTTTACTATTTTCCCATCTCTACTTCTAAGTTACACTCACAGTAACTACACAATAACGCTTTGTTCTGCACCCCAAGACCCATTGACTTACCTTCAGCGTCCACTTCCACATCTGGTGCAGCCATGGCAGTTTTCTTTGTGGTAGCTGCACTGTCAAAGAAGCCTCGGGTGACGCTCAGCAGAGGCCAGTTCTCATCGCACGGCTGGATCGGCACGGGAGGCGTGAGGAGCGGAGCATTCGGATCTGGGGCACTGTGGGACTCTGCGTTTGGAACCAGAGGAGCGAGAGCCTCGGCCTCTTCTGTGAGTCCATGTGTGCGAGCACACAAATAGGCCAAGGAGGTTTGTCCACAATTCTGCATGGCAACGACATCAAAACCTCACAATTCAAAGAAAGGAAGGAAAGATAGTAGGTAATGCTCAAAAACACGGACAGTTAAAACAATGCCGACAACTGTGACAGGATTGCAGCAATTTGCAGCAATAATGGTGACTAGTGCTGGGTAGTCTGGAAGATACGTGTATTTTAGATACTATCTCACATATGCTAAAAGTATCTTGCATTTGTAGGTAGTATTATGATACATTTTGCAGAACTTGTATCAGTGTCTGTATCAGTGTATCAGTGTCCAAAATATCAGTATGAACTTGTATCAGTGTCCAAAATATTAAATAACGCATCATGCATCTTAAGATATAAGATACTGGGATCACAACACCAATGTGCGAAACAATTAACCCTGGCTGATCTCGGCTTCTGAATATGACACTGCTGCCACAAAGCCATCACATTAAAACTAAGTACAGTGACGTCCTTCCATCTTTTCACAAGGGTCCTCTAGTGAGGTTAGGCAATAAGGTCTGCACGTTTCTATTGGTGGAGTAGAGTCACATGATGGCCTTGACACCATCAAGGCAAAAACAAGCAACTGAACGTCTATGCCAGGAGCCTAAAGCCCACGACTCGCAGACCTTTGGCTCGTGGCGCCCTACTACACAAGGATTTAAGTGTTCACGATTTTGCCAAATGGTACTCGTATCGCTTACTCGCTCATTGCTTTGTACAGGTAAGCTACAGTCAGCGCAGCCCCGCATATGTGACGCTAACTAAAAGCGTCGCACTTCCAACGCAAAAGTATAGCTTCCTTTTTCTTTTTTGGTTTGGAGAGCGAGGGCACATCTTCGCACATTGTCGCGGTGGCAAAAATGATGGCAATGCCGCCAAGTGGGGCGCAAGCCCGCCTGTCTGCTTCACGCACGTTCGCGCGCTATATCGAGTGCTCGTTCTCGCCTGGGAGTTGCCGGGACAACCGCGGAAGATGCATGTTCGTGCCAAAATGACGAATTCCGGGGCGAAATTCTTACATTGTTTGTGGCGAAAATTCCTTATATCAAGGTTGTCTCCCGCTGTTACTTTGTTACATAGAGGTCACAAATAGATGTGCTTCTATGCAGTGACAGCAGGGAATAGAAAAACTTTGTTATATCGAAGAACTCGCTATATGGAGGTTCGTTATAAGCAGGTTTAACTGTACAAACCTTGAGAATCTTGATGCGCTCCTGCACATCGCCGAGGTAGAGGGCGTTGGTGAACTGCCCGCTCGTGTCCTTTCGTATCTCCGCAATCTTGAGCATCTTGCGAAGCTTCTCCAGGTTGCCCGTTATCAGGTAGAGGAACGACAGCTTGTCGAAATTCTTGGTGCGCTGGTATGCCATCTCGACCACCTGAGGCACCAACGAGTAATGCAGGTTGATACACCACAATCAAGACAGGGCAACTCATTGGTAGCACATCATTGAGAAGTAAAGCACACTAAATTTACAAGGACCTTCAACAAAAACATGATCGCATACATCAAGAAGCTTAGTGCATGCTGTTGGCACTCATGTTGGGTTTTAATGCACTAGTCAAAGTGGTTCAACTAAGCACCCTAGCATCATTGCTGCCTGTGCATAGTACAGGACTTCGCAATGCACAGTATTAAGCATGCAACAGTCCTCCAACACAGCACATGTGTTGTTCTATCATGATTAGGTGAATAGCGAGTTACGCGTCACAAGAATACACCACAAAAGATAAGCTCAGGCACTGCTAATGAAAAATGTGACCTTTATGAAGGGCTGAGATTTAGATACCTTTAAGTGTATGTTAATGATCAGGTCCCGTATATAACACATTTTTGTTTCTGAAGAAAGAAGAGACACCTCAGGATAATTTAAAAATCTGATGATTCATACTTTTGGCTAATTCAAACAAAATTGAATATTTTGGTTGGCCCTCTATTATTTCAATATATTGAAAGAATATTCGACTGCCTCCTAATTCAAAGTCCATCCCTCGGTTAATTCATACTTTTTGCGGTTCCATACAATCTTAACCACCTAAATATGAAAAATAAGCATCTCAGGCCTTCAAGAAAAAAGGCTTTGCTAGTAAACAAATGTTTGAAACAACGCACACGCATGGTAAACCATGAGGCATCTCAGCTGGTGCAGTGAGCTGTGTGCTGAAGGCACATAGAGCAACGAAGCAGTTGGCAATTCACGATTTCTTTAAAAGGTCTGATCAACAGTAAATGGCCGATAAACTTGGCCATTTACTTGCATTTTTGCTTTCTGTTCATTGCGTGCATTTAGGGTTTAAAAACACTTTAAAAAGTTTTCAATGTAATAAAATCAATGCCTAACCATAACGTGTGGTGTCACCTTACCTGGAGTCATATACAGTATAGACCGCTTATAACGTAAGTCGCGGGAGTCACGAATATTCGCACTATAAGCGATACCGCGCTATAACCAAAACAATCTTTTTCAATGGCTACACTTGCACAAACGAAACAGGTGTTCAAAACAGTTCAAAAATCTTCCCCATGAGATCTATTTTTCATTACCGAAACGCACATCAAAAATGAAGAACGCTGCTGACGACGGGGCCAAACTGTCAACGAATTGCGAAATCGGAAACAACAGTAGGTGACGTAACTGCACGCAAAATGTGTAATGTGCCAAGTCCCCAATCACAATGAATCACAGCAGCAAGAAACAGCTGTGCTATTCTCTGGGACCACTCCTTTACCTGGTGATTTCCCTGCATCAGAGCAGCTTCGCCCAGCTTTTCCCAGCATTTCTTGTCGTCAAGAGTGCGAGCTGCTTCCAAGGCAACCTAAACGGTTGAAACATACGAAACTCGTGAGTGCTAGAGTAGATGCGCACTAGAATGCTTGCATAAATAAAACCCATGCCAAGATAGCTAGGCCGACTGCTTTGCATGCACAATGATAGTTTCGAAATCAAAAGCATAAAGGCACAATACACTCATACCTCGTTATAACAAAGTTGCATACTACACAAATATAAGTTTGTCACATATCTGAATATCCGTTTTAAAGGTATATTCTCAACATTATTTATTGCAAGACTATTCTTCATTTACTTCCGTTAGAACCAATATTTCGTTACGTCTGGGTTCATTATTTAGGGGTATGAGAGTACAAGTGAAACATTAGTTTCAAATATACTGTAAAAACCCAAACATAAGTGGAGGTATTGTTTTAGATTTTATTATACAACATTTCAGCCCCCTACTATATTTGGATACCAGGAATTTCCAGCCATCATTAATAGTTTTGGTTTCAGTATTGGACGGTACTTTATCATCATCAGGCGTCTGTGTTTCCTACTCGCAACAGTTGCCATTGCAACTACTTGTCGCACTTCACGACAGCCCCGATTTTACACCATGTCAATACTGTGAAAGCAGTACTCGATTTCCTCGAAAATAAAAATAACATCAGCTGCTGAAACCATCGACAGCTGTGCCGCAAAGCGGCTGTTCAACGTAAACGAGTGAAGCATTCGTGGTTGAGGGAAACCAAAGGAAGCCCTCTTTCTGTGTAACGACTAGAGAAGAATTTTCCGGGGGCCAAGAAATAGAGCATTTTCCGAAATTGAACAGGAATTGACAAACTTCGATCGAGAGCAACAGAGCACTCCTGGGGCTCCCCTCGATGATAATGCTTGCCTCGTTTCGGAGTCACCTCAATGAAGTGACTTCGACGCGACTACCGTGCCAAGCTTGTCGAGGGGTGAAATCCGGAGGGATGCCATCCCAGCTGCAGCCGCTTGATGCGTGTCTCGATACACCATTTAAAGACCCCACCAAGCGCCTGTATATGGAGTGGATGAGATCCGGAGAGCCGGAAGTGAACCCTGCCGGACAGCTGGTGCAGGCCTCGTCAGCTATACAATGCACATGGATTGTCGAGGCTTGGGCACACACTCACACGGTGCTCGTTTGCCGTGCTTTCAAGAAAGGCTCGCTTTAAAACGCTTTACATGGCACTGAAGATGAGGTGCTGCAAGAGAATATCTCTGACAAGGAAGTTTCGGGATAAGGTGCATTAGGCGACAACAAATAAATGTGAAAATAAATGTGTTTAGTTGCTCATACCATATTAGGGTGAAAACAGCTGTTCTCACATCTGCTACCCTTGAATTACACCTCCGACTATACCCAGGTCCGAGTTATATGTGGGTTTTTATGGTAATGCACCAGATCACTGCTTCAAGGTCCCTGAAACGTCACATCTATAGGAAGAGGCTGTTAAAAATTGACGCCCTCCAAGCTTTCCATTGTATATACTATATCACCAAAAAAATAGGCCATAGCAAATATCTACATGCTTCAAATATTCAAACAAATATTACAGAAATCAGATCAGCTTTGACACAAATTCAAGGTTTAGAAAATTTCTTAGTATTCAAGACCTTTCAATAGACATATTTCACCATACTTAAAGGGGAAGACTGGTTTTAAACATTTTTTGTTTATTTCTTCTGTGATCTTGATAAAACTGCACAGGACTATGCAGTTTTTTCTGCTGATATAAAATATTTATTTGTTTTCTTGTAACTCAACTTGTTTCTGAGATAACTTAAGTTCACCCCTATTGTTTAAGGCTACCATAGAAAAAAAGTGCTTAATTAAAAGTGATGTTTAAGATATGCCAACATATACTAATGACTCTAGATTGAAAGTATGTAAGAGTTTTTTTTTTTTTTTTTTAGGCCTTTCTTGGTTATTTTACAGCAACATGAACTATCCATTTTCAAAAGCAGTTGGAAATGTGTTACAATTTTGATGAGTAATTAATTATAAAGGCTTGTGCTCTGAATTCTGCTCCCATACTTGCATTCTACACGCAAACAGGTTTCCATTGCAAAAAGAATTATTGTTGTACCTGCCCTAGTTGCAGAGATATTGAAGCCTCAAAATTGAACAGTCGTAAATTTACTTGTTTGAGAAAAATGGAAAAAAACTGAAAACACAGTTTCTTCAAAAAGCAACAATTATGGTGCGCATGTTTTGCAATCCTCATTAACGTGCTCATAAATTTGCAGCAGAGCTTCTAACACAGCTGCTGGCAAATTATAAGGAAGTCTTGAAGTTGGTTCCCCATTTTTTTTGCAGTTTCTACATGTTAAAGACCAGTAAACAGCCCTGAGGTTCCAAAATTTTTAAGAGGAAATATGTGCAGTTTTTCTTCGCGAACATGCTGCAATAAGAATTTTGCGAATACGAGCTATATTAAGGAAGTTGCAGGAGTTAGAACACCAATCTAAGCTGGTTTCAAATTTTCGCGCGGCCTCAGCCCCTTCTTTCTTCCATGAAGGGGAAAGCATAGCCCATCGTCGTGACTCCGCCCACTTCGGCAACGTGACACCACGTCAGCGATTGACGTCATCGGTGAACTCGATCAGTTGCAACGCACTTTTGCTTGGTGCGAAGCGTGGTTGTTTGTTTACCGTTTGCCATACCAGCTGCAGGTCAACCGTGTAAGCGTCAGGTGTGAAGTGTCGACCACAAACGATCAGCTCCCCGACGTACGTCGCTGGATGGCCGATTCGCTTCAGCCATGCAGCGCGCAGGGCCCCATCGTGAGGCACTCGGCGCCGATGCTTCTCCTCTGTCCAGTCGCTCAATTTGCAGACGACGACAGAGCAACGCTTTTTACATGTGCTGCTCATGTCAAGGGCGAAGTATGTTCGTAGCCGCTGTAGTTGAGCGAGGAGTGTACACATGCACGCGACAACTGCGAGGCTGGTTCTTTCACCGCAGTGCCAAGAAACAAGGGACAGTTTCGTAGCTGTGGGTGGGAACAGGAACTGACGTTGACTTCACTACTGTTCTTTCACACATGACTTAGACCAATCGGTGAGTTGCTTCGGCGAGCTGCGTGCTATGTCACGTTGCCAATCGTCGAGTTGACGTCACTGCACGTGCAAGGGGGTCGGTCAGGCGTAAGAAAGATGTGCGGGAATCGTTTTTCGAAATAGAGCCTCTGCACCGTGCGCAGCTCTGTAATATTCAGAAAACGTGATCACTGCGGTCTAATCTACGAATTGCCCAGCTTGTATCGGGAGTGTAAAAAAAAAGTCGGAGCCTGTTTACTGGCCCTTTAACAGCACCAAGAATCTGGACAGTTACAATGACATTACAAAAAACTACCACTTCCTGGTGTGTGAAAATTTGCAGAGAGATAGAGAAATACTTGCAAAAACCAAATATGTCAATTTTAAAGAATGAATTTTTTTGTCACTTTTTGGTCCCAAAGACCAGTCTACACGGACTTGTACGAATGATTTCACTGCAGCATGAGACTGCTATGTCGTGAAACGACCTAGTCGGAATAAATCTGCACTGCCTCGAAGCCGCACATAGAAGATGCAGATGCATTACCTTTACCCCAAGTAATATATTTTTTGCAAGTTTTTAAAGTGTGTTATATAAGCTTATATGAGGTTACAAATGACAAACTTTAATGTGTAACAAGTTTTACAGCATTGTTCCATTTTACGGCAGGGCAACCGCATGCTGCACTGAAGCGACTATTTTTAAACAGGTTACATGCAGTAAAACACACTTGTCTGCTTTGAACACTTCGGAATTTCCAATATCAATTGTAGTTGACGTGAATTCCAATATTGCAATGCTTGGTTTACACATATCGGAACCGGCCAAGTGTTCACGAAAGCCTGACTGCACGGCAGGACTGCCACTCGTGCTCACCTCGATGTTTCCGCATTCCAGGGCGAGGGCGAAGCGCGTCTTCTCGTCCTTGACGAAGTGCAGCGCCACCTCCGGGTAGCCCTTCTTCTGCAGGTAGGCTATGATGGACTGGCCCACCAGCTTGGCGTTTCGCACCATGTGCAGAACCTGTCGGCAGAATGGCGAAACCGTTCCGCTATCTTTCGAAGCCAAGTCACGTGCCCGGCACACAACTGCCAGCGTTTCGCACGTTCTTACATACCATGCGCTACAAGTGACTCGAGCAACCTTCTATTCCGGGCAACTACACTCGAACCTCGATATAACAAACCCAGGCCTAATAACATTTTTGTAATAACAAAGTGAATATTGCAATATCTTGCAATAGATATAGCGTTGTGAATTTACTTTTATAACAAACTTTTTAATATAACAAGCTTATTTTCGAGTAATATGCAGCTTCTTTATAATGACGTTTGAGTGTATTGAAACTAACGTAAGTGTGTTCCAACAGGTACTGGACACTGAGGGCACTGGGTTTGACTTATCTACACTTATCTTAGTTGCTTTTCTTTGAGTGATGTTATTGACAGGTACACTTACTTTCTTAATTACTAAATAGGCATGTTATTTGCCATACATTTCGTTTTTTGTTGTTCTTATTTGGCACACACTCCTCAATGTAAGAACGAACGTAAAACCTTCGGTTTGTATGCTCAATGCGTGTGATCTGAAAGTTGCAGGTTCAGTCTTTACCGGCAAAAAGTTGTTTTTTCGTCCATTTTACTTTTTTTTTTTACGTAAATGAATGGATGGTGAAACTAGAGATCACAGTTACTACAATACACTTAAAAATGCATAATTAATGTACCCTAAACCTTCCATGGCTTTATTATCTGCTGCCTTTTATTAGAATGTGTCAAACCAAGAAACAAGCCCTCGAAGTTCTTTTCCTTCATTCACACAAACATCATTATGTGCTATTTACAACATTTACTAGCATAATCCTTGCACTTTTTCCCATGGAAAACCAATGAAAAGTTGGGAGGTGCGAGAATTACGTGATGAAAAAGTTTCGCGAAATTGTACGGAGCAGGGGAAAAAAACGAAGTGGCTGCAAATCGGGATTCTCATGCTAGCAACTACAAGCTTTGAGAAGAACTAATCAAGACTCAACTGAGCAATAAAACCACAGGTTAAACGCAAGGCAGAGTTTATTCGAGACACAAAAGCTGCAAGCAAATAGTAGAGAATTTCGAAATACTACCGCATGCAAAGCTTGTGAGCGTTGGGGGCACAGTGTCAGCATTCGTCACTGAACGGGAACCCGCAAAAGGTTAGCGTAGGACATCAACCTTGGGCTCATAACCATTACACATGGAATCGTCCGAAGTTATTTTCAGACGAAATAAAGCTTTAGCCTCCATCTGAGTCTTAGGCACTCAGAAGACCCAGCGCGTCTTGGTGGTTTTCAGCTGCCGATTCTGCCTTCGCAAGTAGTAAGCACAAAACTCGCCAACTCCAAAGTGCCTCTTGGCGGCCCTGTTGCTGTTGGCACATGAAGAATCACTTTCAACTTGAAAGCATCCGTGTAGCTTCCATATCGCCTCATGAATAACATAACCACAGAACAGACACAACGCATGTGCATGCCGCAGCGCAAACTTGCCACTTTGGCTTGGCTTCGATTGGTTTGGGGCTCCGTGCATTGATAGTTCACTGCTGAACAAGTTGCGCCAGACTGTTGTGCACTATCATCATCAATGGTTGGAAGGAGCAGACGACACTACAGCTTCGATTTTCAAGGGTGCGATAATTACTCGAGGCAAAAAAAAATGATATTATTGTAGGGAAAAATGCGGGGTGCGAGAATTATGCGAGCAAATATGTTATTACCTTTCTCCTGTCCACCTTATAGATGCACAGCTCAGTGTCTCATCAATTAAAACAAAACAGCCCGTCCATGTGCATTATCTAAATTTGTTTACACCACAATGTCACGTGTGAAAAAGAAAACTGGGCATTGCTCACACTAGTGATGCAAGCAACGCCTTTCAAGGTTTTGCAAAATTTTAGCCAGGTATTGCGAGGTTATGCAAAGTGTTACCATGCATTGCTATGTTCCTACCAATTCTCGCGGTTACTGCTAAGTTTCGCCAAATGTTACGAGGTTATGCAAAGCTTTGCCAAGTTTTTCTAGGCATTGCTAAGATTAAGAAGTGTTGCAAAGCAATGCCCGGAGTCGCCAAGTGCTGCTCTACCCCTGTAAGCCAGCCTTCAGTCTCTGCACATGGCCCCGCACCTGAAACAAGAGCAGCATTGCCGGATGGCAGCTAGTAGAGCCCAGCCTCGGGCCAGGACCAGCTACGTGCCGATCAGCTACACTGTGTCTGCAGCCTTGCACCACCAGCACACGCTGCAATCCGCTTTTTTAAAGCCGAGTAGCTGGCCATGCCATACAAGGGCCAGATAACAAGATAGAAAAGCAACATATTTGCACAGTGGAAGAAAACAAGCGGTCACAGCGTATCGTGGAAGGAAGACACACGGACAGGAAAGAGCACTCCACATAACCTCACAACGCTTAGCAAAACAAGCGTGAAGCTATGCACAGATGTGCAGGGGTTGCTGGCCAACGCGCACGGACGTCATTGCTCCATGTGGTTTTTCTCGTCCAGGTCAAATGAACTAATGCTTGACTTAAACAGCTCTCGGACGTTAAGAAATGCTTACCTCATCATACTTTCGGTTGACCAGAGCAAGCTTGAACCGATACTCAGTGGGGTCGATGCCCAGGACACGGGGCCGGCACTCGCGGTCCAGGCAGTACACACTCGAGTCCTTGACACGAGTTATGTAGATGGGCAAGTCTAGGGTGCGGATTATGCCATGGTCGCTGCAAACCAACACAACAGAACATGTGACTGATGCTACGCACTTTCTGGGCAACTTTCATTTAAACAAGACCGAGGCTCAAGCAGCAATACAGTGATGGGCAATCGGCAGACAAATAGAGGCATCGGTGAATATAGCTTAGTGAAGATGAAAGGCCTGTGCTTCAGCAGCATCAGTACGGGCACTCTTGTTTGGTGGAGTTGGCTGGATACTTCAGACAGCTTTTTTTCATGCCTTGTCTTTTTAACACAGACATTGAAAAAAAAAAACGCACTGTGCTAGTCCCAAAACGATTCCAAAAAGCCATTCTATTCACTAGAGGATGTTTGTTATGCTAAAGAAGATGCAACCAAAAAAAAAGGCTCCTAGTGCATTCACCTTTGCACACATCAGCTCGCAATAAATTTGCATATTACAGTTGACTGTACCAACTTAGTTTTCATCGGCAGCAAGTGCCACAATCTATCAGAGTCAAAGACATCTACTAAGCTGGAATGGCTTTAAGATGAAAAGAAAAACGTATGTTTGATAGTGAAACTGAAAAGCCCAGGCATATACTGCCAGTTTCTGTCGTAATCATTGAAATACAATCGCAAAATTACCAACGCAGTGTTTATAGCATATCTTGACCCTGTAGAATTATTTAGGATTTCCTTTCATTATCTTTTCGCTTTGTTGCCATCACGACTAGAATACACGTGTGTCAGTTCTCACCCGTTGGTCAGGCTGTACTTGATGTGGTTGGATGTGGTGTAGACGAAAACGCCCGAGTCATCCCACGCCCCACTCTTGACACGAGTGCTCTCTTGAACGCTGCAGAGGACCTCCAGGTTGCGGTTACAGATGGTCAGGGTGTGCTTGGCCAGGAGGGCAACATGGCTCATGTCTGAACTCCACACCACGTACTTCGCCTTGGCCTTGACTGAGGCACGCTGCCTGCAATCGCAGACGGGAAAGGATCGTGTCACGTACCTGTGGTGCAACTACCCCAGAGTCCAAAACGAACATTATCATCACAATTTGCAACACTGTTAAAGGACCCCTAAACCACCCGGATGCCAAAATTTAGTTGTGCTGCTGCAGTTGTGTGTGTCTAAAATGAAGACATAGCCGTGAGTATTTTTAAAAAATGGCACTGTAATGTGAGGCTACACGAATTTTACGGTCGACAAGTGGTCCCCACTTCCTTAGCACTTTCCTTTGCTAAGCTACACTTATTGGCTCGTGAAGCGAGAAGGAAAAGCAGTCAGCACACGCACTTGCAAGCAGACAGATTCTTTCTGTGGATGAAATGACCAGACAAGAATATTGATGTCGCAGCCCAAGCAGTGGATTACCAAAAGGCACAGAGCGGATAAGGAATTGTTTCACAGAATTTGTTGCGCACCTGTGACTAACAGCGCTGCCATGTTTGGCATTGTTCATTGTGACAGCATCTCGAACTCAGTGCATACATTTATATGAAATGTTAAAAAAGTTACTGCGGGTGGTTCAGGGGTCCTTTAAGGGGAGATGCTACTCGAAAAATGATTTTCTTTAATAAGAGTCTGAATTTAACACAAATTGGCATGCTAATAGAGTTTTTTCTCCTGTTTTCAAATATGTCATTTATTTTCATGTAGATTGCTTGGTTTTCTTTCTGCAGGTCAGATACTGCAAAATTATGGCCATTGTTATGCAACAATTCTGACCTATAAAAATTTGAGATAAAGCATGCAGATATAGCTGACTATGATCCTTTGGAACTGTAGAGTGCAAAAAACTATATAAATTTTGTGTGTAAAAAGGTGAAATACAATAATAAATTGAAAAATTTACTATGGCTCTAGTTGCCAACGGCTTTCAATGTTATGTAATTTTTGAAAAACATAATCAAGCAGCACTGACAATCTGAATAGATACTTGCACTCTATGGGCCTTCATCATGTTATGTGCAAACTTTCATAGAGGTATGACAATTCTAAGTATACGAACTAGCGTGTATAAGAAGCACAGATCACACAAAACTGCAAAATGAGAAAAACGCATTTGAAAGTTTGAAACCTTTTTTTTTAATCACAGAGTTGTTAGAAATGCATAATCTTTGGCCATAATGTTCAACAGAACTTTGAAAAGCACTGCAAGTTACTAGAACTGTCCTGCAGCATAGGTTGTGCCCTCACGGTTCTCGCGAGCACTCTCTTCTAGCCGTGCCCTTTTCACTCCACGACGACGGTGGGCCCTTGCTTCTGCTGTCAGACGCTCGGACATTCTCTTGATGCGCCTCACATCACGGGAATCACTGAAAGTAACTAGATCTCTGGATGGCAGTATGTTGAGCTCTTCTAGGATGTGCTCGAAAGTAGCATGACCCTTGTTGAACCACAGGATTGCCATAGCTGCGGCAGTCTCGACAACCAATCAGGAGACAAACTTAGTCTTGCGGCAAAGTAGCCAAATTTTGCTGTTCAGGGATTCCGATGCGTTCTGGGTTTTCCCTTTGATGCATCGAGCAAGGAGCTTCTCATCCGTTAGCCGCTTATAAATAGGCAAAACAGCCAATCCCTGTGCTTTTTTCAGGAGAGGTGTGTGGCGTGGTGCAGGTTCACCAAGTGCTTCAGCGCGTTGATGTTTGCACCACGACTCTGTTCCTGCAGGGCAAAACTTGTGGCTGCCAGCATTGTCAGTAGAGCATGAGTGGAAGTACGAAGCCCATACTGCAGTGTACATATCCCGTACGCTCCCCCTGTTGCTTGTTATGGCAATCTGATAGTATGTTTAGAGCTTCTGAATGGCTGGCTCTTTCATTTTCTGCCCTCGTGGTAATGGCACATGCAGCTTCCGTAGCGCGGTGCCAAGTCTCTTGGCCACATGATTAGTGCAGTCTTCTTTTTCTATATTGACAGCACCATAGACTTTTGACTCTGCAACTGCACTATATGCTTTGCTGTCACCGTCACTCAAGAATGTCATGAAATGCAGTGGCGTGTCATAAGTCAATGTTCTCTGCCAAATGCGCATTGCAGCCTCCATTTCCATGGCATGGGAGGAACAGTCTGCATTTTTTTCACAGACTAAGCCATGGAATGCCTGCCACACTTCCTCGTCTGGGCCCATATCCTTGTGCCTACTGCATGTCAGGCAGTAATTTGATATGACCTCGAAGTCTAAGCAGAGGCCAGTATCTAAGGAGATAACTGCGCCAATCGCGTTGTGGCTTTTGTGGCCCCTCTTTTGCCAAGTGCCGTCGAACATAACAGCCACATCAGTTTCGCCTGCTACTTCTTTCGTCAACTCTCTGGATCGGCGCTAGTTTTCACTCACAGCTGCCATGGCAGCGGTGTGCACCTTCTTTGCTATCGAAAAAAATCCTCGGTGGTGCATTGGCTTTGGGAGTCCAATAATGGAGCAAAATCTCGACAATTGCTCATGCCCAATGCCGACAGCGCGTGCAGCCACCACCGCCTTCACATTTACAGCGAAACTATCTCGGGAGCTCCCACTGTCGTACTGTTGGCTCACGCGGCTGCTGCCGTCCGCCGTAACACGCAGTGACGTATAGGAGCACGAAAGAACAGTCGCTGAGCATTCGCTGTTTTCGCAATGAAGTTCAAGGAGCGACGAAAGTCCCTTGCGCTTTTCTGCCGGCTCCCGAACGGCAAGTTTTTGAATACCGCAAGCAGGGCATGCCGCACCTGCCACAAGTGCCGTCAGAAAGAGGGTGTCGCACAAAACTGTCGTTGCACAAACCTCATCGCGCTGTCTTTCGTCTTTTTCGAAGAAGCCGAGCTTCTTTTCCGAAGCACTGACGAAAGAAAGCGCAGCGTCAATCCCTTCATCGCAGCCACTGTCGCTCGCGCACTCGTCGATGCCGCCGTCAGGCCTAGCACACGTAGGCGCGTTCTCGTTCCTCGCCGTCGTTCGGGGCGCTTTACGCCGCCTTCCCTTGAATTTGTGCTTCGTTTGAAACTTCTGCGGTCTCACGTTGCACTTTTTCGGGCTTGTCATCGCGGAAATATGCGTAGACGCGCAGAAAAGCAGACGGACCAAATGCCGATAGCCGCCACCAACACAGCTGACAATGACTCGGTAGCCAATGGCAATGCGGCTTAGGGTGCCGCGTGTTTCAAACCGCTAAAACCACGTGATAAAAAGGCCTCGTTTTTTATTCTTTATTTTTTTGCCCACGTACGAAACTGGCGGTCGTCGGAGCTGTAAGAAGAGGGCCGGACGCAACTTTCCCAACCGATCGCGATGGCGGGCGGCACTGCGACGGGGAGCAGCGCGCAGTCAAAGATGGCCAATATTGACGCAAATTCACGAAATTTCGAGCCACCGCGATGCCTTCATACACATTTTTTTGCATTTTGCGGTTCGAATTTAGTTTTGAAATTTTCACAGATGAAAGAAGAAGGTTTGAAGATTACAATGCAATAAAAATCAGAAATACGAGAAATTTCCCTAAAACGCGATTTTTCGACTCGCATCTCCCCTTAGGGACTCATTGCAAGGTACTTATATGATAATATGAATTTTGACATATTGCTATAACATCAGTCAGGGTCTGCACTGTATAAATACAGTTAAACATGGATATAACAAAATTAATAAATTCCCGGAAAAATTTGTTATAAAGAGAATTTTGTTGTATGCAGGTTCAGTATGAGAATTCCAAAAATAAACGCCCAAATTAAACAAAAAGAGAACTGAAGGCAGAGTTTACCCAAAATGCTTACTTAGCGGTAAAAAACTGTGTTATTAATGCGATAACAATTATATGGACACACTCAGTGGGTTTCTGCCGTTGCCACCATGTTCCGTAAGAAGTTCAATCTGATAACATCCCCGCGCATCATTAATTTTAAGAGCAGGTAAAAGCGCGTGAGCGCTGATGAAGCACACATCAAAAGGGCCGGCCCATCTCTATCGCTTGGAGGGCGCATACAATAACATACGTTATTTAACAAATGCTAGATAAATGTATAAGTAGGCAGCTCGAATAGAATAAGAATGGAATAGCTTCACATTACACCATTTTGTGTGTTGCTATAACATGCATACAACACAATGCTATCTTTTCCTCTCGAACCCCTCCAGCTCAAGGACACGTTAAACAAGGCCCACACACTCACCTTCCTTGGGTCACATCAAACAGCATCAAGCTGTCGGAATCGCGCAGCAGGAGCATGCCTGTGCCAGCATAGAAGATCTCATCGCAGCTGGGCGTCTGCACTTTCTTGCTGACCTCGTTCTTCATGTTTTTGATCACAATCTGAAAGCGATTCACAAAAGGTTGCGAAACATCACTGCTGTGAATTTCCTTCATTCTGCAACACTTAGCATAAATTATACACAAACCTCATTATAACGAAATGGCATATTACACAAAAATAGATTCGTTATACTCAAAAATTTGTTATAAAAATATATTTTTAACAATATGAATATTACACACAAGACTATTCTTTGTTAACTTCATTATAACCAATATTTTGTTGTATCCGGGTTTGTTACACTGAGGTTTGAGTTCACATACTTCAGACAACAAGTAATCCCAGTGGAGCTTCTGGATACACCTCAATCACTTGCCTATCCAAGGCCATTGCCTATACAAGTTCTATCCACGCAGAGCAGCTTCAGTTAACGGCAAGCTTGTCCGAGATCCATCTTTGTCACTTCAGATGATCCCCGTTTGTCAGCTTACCTCATGCGCGGGGGGGTGTGTGACGTATCTGCGGATTTCATTTTCTCGGTTGCTTGCTGACCTTTGGAATATAAGATTCGAGCAAGATGTGCAGCCTGTTCGTCTGAAGTGAGTTAAAACAGGGAGACATTCTCGCAAAAGAACAGCCAAGCAGACGATAATCCCAGCTGAGCACACTTCGTAGGCATGCGCTTACTCTCACCCTGTTTGCGGCTTGGCTCCGTCGTACGATGCATGCACAAAAAAGTCGGCACTCGCATACGACAGTTAAAAATTTAGGCGGTTGTGCATTCTCACCTCGATATTATAAACCCATATTTAACGACATATCAGTTATTATGAAGTAAATAAAATAGTCTTGCAATAGCCAGAGTGTTAGGAATACATTTCTGAATATAACGACACTTAATTTAGTCTAACATGCAACTTCATTATAACGAGGTTTTGGTGTTATCAGACTCCACTGATGGTAGGCTGTTGCCAAGGCAGTTTCACTTTCGTTTTTATGTGCAGGCAAATTTTTTAATTGACCTAAAAAAAAAAAGACGCGAAATAGATGTCATTTTCGTTAAGTTGAGAATAATGGTTCCCTCACACCTTTGTTTGAATGCATAGCTGCCATTTTCGAAAAGAATTTATAAATCTACCTTCCATGGGGAAATGCAAGGTCAAGCCGTAGTGCCTAATTAGCCTTCCTCTATCCATTTCTCGGGCTGAGTGTCGTGGCCTACATTGTTAGTTATTCAAATATGCAATGCCCAGATTATACGACGGTCTTGTGTGGTCCCCTCGAGGTCGTATAATCGGTTTTACACTGCAACTGTTAAGCCATTTTTCACGTGAAATGCACCCAGAATTTGCCCAAAAGGACTGAATTTCAAGTACAGACTTTCAATTTGAGGTAATGCTACAGTGAACAGTGAGGTAAGTGATGGCCACATCTCTACCATATAAACCAAACGAACAATGCAAGCCAAAGTGAAGTTTGGGCAAATCAAGCACACAGGCAATGTAATTCATTCAAAAGGTTAATATAGCTTCAATTTGACTTAACGAAACCCGATTTTACGAACACCTCAATTAAACAAACAAATTCCAATTCCTCCCGTGCTTTCTCATAGGCTATTTAGCTTTCTAAGTTAAGGACGTTTCCGATATAACAAAATTCATGGGTCCCCTCAGTTTCCTTAATTCAAGCTTTAACTGTAACAATAACTGTTAGAACTGTTCAAGTATTACATGCCAAAACAAAGGGTCATTGAAGAGAAGGGCTTCGGAAGCTTTCACCACCGGGCATACCTTGGTGTCCACCTAAATCAAAGTGCACAAACCTCTAGCCCTCCACCTCCACCTAAATACAGGTAGGATTCAATCCTGCGACATTCAGGTCCACAGGTGGCCATCAGAAGAAAGATGCACTTACATTGTGGGTGCGATCGAGCACGGCAAAACGATTGCGCGCCACCCAGACAGCAGTGAGGCCGGTGGACCGCTTGCCCTCGACCATGTCTGGATTCTGGGGGTCGTAGTCTTTCGGAACCATGCACAGGTCATACGTGCTGTTGTCCGGGTTCGCAGTGCGTGTGTTCAGCAGAACGGCGTTCTCCGCTGGATTGTAAGACATGCTGCACCAATAACGAAAAATAATAAATTGCAAAAGAAGATGCTCGTTTTTACATCTTTGCGTGTCACTGAATGAATTCCTTAAGGGGGGATGCTACACCTTCCAAAAACTCTTTTATTTTTGCGAGTACCTCAGTCAAATTTGGAGAGCCTATGTAGATTTTACTGCTGATTTCAAAAATCTAATTCTTTTTTTGCTGTGACAATTAGTTTTAAAGATATAATGAACTGCGACTTTTTCAATTAAGGCCTAATTAGCTAATTAACTGTAACTTGGATATTGATGTGCAACCTATAGAACCAATTCGGTATGTTCACAGTGTGCAATAAAGTATAAATCATTATTCTGGGCTATTTCGAAGCAAAGTTGTGGGATGTTGAATATGACATGAAAAATTTCCCCATCTACACTTGAAACAAAAGATCTATTTAGAGAATTTTCTCCAAAAATTATTACAATAAAACTTACTTTACGACACATCCCCTGCATTTATCTTCGAAACAAAAAAAAATCGTAATGATAACCCAGATAGAACAAGAGATATTGCTCCGGCATAATGGGAAGCACATGAAAATAGTCGTTTTGAGAAATCGAGAAAAAACGTGGGCACACATTTTTATTGCAGAAGATGCAACAAGACAACCTCAAAACGCACCAGAAGCATAGTCTGAATGCATTCTGTGCTCATGCCTCCTCTTCACTAGCTTCCGGAGTTCCAATGAGGCTGTTCTTTTCTTGTTGGAGACAATGCTGCGACGGTGCTCTTTTTCTCTCGCTCTCCTGGCACCAGTACTTGTCGCATTCATGTCCATTTCACCTAAGATTGCCGTTGCAGAATTCAAATTGCCCGTGTTGAAGCGCAGCACTGCTTCTGCAACAGCTGCTTCAACAGCGAACAGGGACGCATGGTGCTCCTTGGGGGCCAAACTCCAGATTACCGAATGTAGGCTCTCGTTGGAGTTCTGCGTTTTGCCGCGTTCGCACCTCTGAAGCAGGGCTCTTTCCGAAAGCCGGGTATAAACTGGTAGTAATGCCTCTGCCACGTCTTTCGGTAGATTGTAGGCATGCCTGGGGTCGGGCTCACCCTTTGCTTTTGCGGCATTGTGCCGACACCATGAAGTTTCACCAGCTGGGCACAGACTGTGGTCCGAGCATTCATCAGTGGAGGTGACGTGGCGGTATGTGGCCATCACAGCCTTTTGCATCTCGCCCACGTCACCTTCATGCGATTTCAGAGCCCGGCCATAATATGTGCCTGGTGATCAGCTCACCTGTGAGCCTGCCTTTCCCACCAAGGCCTCTTTTCCCATCGCACTTTTGTTTCTGCACCAGGTTTCTCAATGCGGTGCCCATCCGTTTCTGTACATGATTAATACAGTCTTCCTTCTGCACGTCAATGTAACCATACACCTTGGCGTCTTGTATGGCGCAAAATGTCCTAGAGTCTCCATCAGACAGCATAGTTGTGTAGCGCAGGCCATGGCGTTCAAGCGACCTCTGAAATAGAATTAGAGCCGCCTCCACTTCCATTTGCCCCGCTTTGCTGTTCGTATTTTTTTGGCATTTGTGGTTAGCCTTCCATTCTTGATAGCCCTCACTACTAGGCTTTGGGCCCACCTCGCAGCCTAGGCAAAAGTTGGAAAGAATGACGTAGTCCAACACGTAGCCACTAAATAATTCGATAACTGTGCCCACGCCGATGTGGGAAGAATGGCCTCGCGTCTTCCATGTGCCGTCGTAGCTAACGGCAATATTGCCCCGGTGACCGAAGCACAAGTCATCATAAATTGTTCTAACCTTTTCTGCACATTCGCTCATAGCGGACTCAGCCGCACGCGTTGCAGCGGGTGCCAGCGTGTTCTTCAAATGCCGCTGAAACGTCTTGTGGTGCATACCGCGGTGTGAGATGCCCATTGTTGCGAAAATATCGTTCATTTTCGTTTGGCCGTTGCCGGTAGCCACCATCGCCCTCGAAGCGAGAAGATTTACTTCAAACGGATTGCACGTTTTCGTGCCGTTCGCGCGGGGCGAAGTCCATTCATTCGCGATCTCGCCGCACCTTTCACACTGCACTAGCACTTTCACGGCAAGTCCGTAGTCCCGATCCCCTCTGACGATCGTAGCCGGTCCGTGGCAGCCTTTGCAACACAAGGCACCCATTATCGCGTTTAGGATATCTAGATGCATAAGCAGATAAGGAGCAGCGTGGTCCGAGTCCTGTGCGGTTGCCTCACTACAACTCGCGGTGAAAACGTCAATTTTCCGTGCAGTTGCTGGCGCCGATGAAAGCCGGTCGAGCGTCGCTTTCTCCCGGGCATGATTTTCTTCAACTTCGGCGTTTGTCACCACCTTGTGGTCGATTCGTAGTCGTCCGGAGTTCGCTTCACCGTCATCGTCGTCGGAGGCAACGCGCTCGGTCGCACCATCGCTGAACGGCCGCGGAGCGTCGACACATCGTTCGTCAGAGTCAACCAAAAGCTTTGATGACTTCGTAGACTTTCTCCCACGACCTTTGCGTTTCCTGCGACCAAATGCGTGCACGGTCCGATACTTTTTTGCGTTTCCAGGCATGGCGATACGATCAGAAGCTTCAGAGTGCTCTGCCGATTTCGAGGCGTCACAGCGGTAACCCTTTCAAAATGGCGTCGGGTCGCGTATGCAGGCGCAAGCCGCGAGCTTCCAGCCAACCGGAAATACGCCATTTCAGTCACGTGCGCCGTTTAGCCAATGGCAGTGAGCGCGGCTCTTCGTCTTTGAGGCCCCGTTTTTCGAGCCGGGGAAACGCTCAATGTTGCTTACTGAATAAAAAAAACAGCTGAAAACGCGTTCTTTCAAACAAGACCAAAATGGCGCCGATCGAGCGCGTAGTTCCCGCGTATCGTAGAGCCGAAACCTGCGCTATTCGCCCTCAATTTAAAGGGCAGGACGCCCGTTTTCGGTTTTTTAAAGTTGAATAACGATAAAAGTTGATGGTATTCGGCTATGAAATTTTGTATATAGGTGCGCAATGATGTCGGGAACGCGAAAAGAAGGTCCGCGAAAACTCGATTTTTTGGCTGATTTTCGGTCCCGAAGTGCCGCGTCCCCCCTTAAATAGCATGATTATGAGCGAGAAATGAGATTAATGCAATTAAAATTATAAGGTGAATGAAAAAAGACACACAAGCTCAAAAAAATCGCAGACTCGGCTGAACGCCCATTTTCAGTAGTCATAACCGAGTACTTCAAGAACAACAAAGATAAATATCTGCATTGAGGCAAAACAGACTTTTGGAAACAGTTACAGCTGCAAGCAAATCGGAGAGGTGTGGTTACGAGACAATCAACACGTCAACGGTGGCACCTTCGATAAATGCTGTCTCAGACCTGTAATTGCGGCATAAAGCCCGAATAATCTGATGCTGAATGGCCAATGCCAATTTCCAGAAGGCCCAGCACACTGGTTTTGTGAGGCGCACAGCAGTGCTGTTACTGTGTCCACATTATCTTGCACATTCGAAAGATCAAGCATCATCTGAAACACAGGTTGTTAGCTACACCTGGCAATAATGGCGACTCAACTGCAGCACACAAATACGCACCTGAAAACGGGGCTGCGGCTACCGCCACGGAACTGCAAGTAGGCCACGTCCTTGGAGGTGGTCAGGTCCAGTCGTCGAAGGAAACGGTCCTTGCAGTAGTACAGCAGGTTGCCGTGCAAGGCAAATGCAGGCCGCTCACGCTCGAGCTTGAACAGGATCATACCTGCAGGTTCGCAAGTTAAATATTAAAAGCAACCAAGGGGCTTTATGTTTAAGAACTGAGATACCTTTGTGAGGCACGCCATAACAGTTCAAGACTCAAACTAATTTTTACCGCCATTAAAACGCCACAGTCGCGGCCAGGAGTCCTTCTGTCCTTGTGGTTAGCAGTCATACCCCATTATAACAAAGCTGCATCTTACACAAAAAAAAGTTCATTATATCCAAAAATTCGTTGTAAAAGTATAGTCTCAACACTGTGTCCATTACAAGACTATTTTTAACTTGCTTCATTATAATTGATAATTCATTATCTCCATGATCGTTATATCGAGGTTTGAGTACAATTCTACAGCCACAGTGTACCAGGACGGGTCCTCCAAACTGTGCGAGTTCACTGTTTAAGCCTCAAGCCAACACCTTCAAGTCATCTGGTTTGCTTAGATAGCAGAGCAATTGGCCTGCAAAGGCGTGGTCCCGAGTTCAAGCATCAAACAATAGATCTTTTTACCAACAGCAGAATTAGTCTTCTCATAACGCGCTGTAACATGTGCTGTTGTACAGTACCCTTCTAGCAGTTGCAATGTTTCGGTGCATCTAAAAAAAAACATACAAAGTGCTTCCTTTCCCTATTTTGACTAGCCAATCTGCACAAGCAGTGACAGCAAAATTCCGCAACGCACCCGAATCATGTCCTGCCGCAAAGAGGTTAAGGCTCGGGTGGCTAGCCAGGATCCAGAAACGGTCGTGCTCGCGCCGGAAGGTGTGCAGGCAGGTGCGCTTGGACATGTCCCACACTCGTATGCTCTTGTCCTCAGAGTTGCTGAGGATCAGCTCCTGCCTGAAATAACATCAAGAGATAAGACGAAAAGAATTGAAGCACGAACTTCTAGCCGGGGACTAACAAGATAGCACGTAGGCACTATATGTCATTAATAATTGCTGGGGGTCTTACGCTCCAAAACCATGACATAACTATGAGGGGCACCGCAATGAAAAATTCCGGGAATTTCGACCATTCCACTCAGTAGTCTGATCAATCCACCACGCTTAATCACTTATCCCATGCTGCACAGACCCTTCATGTTCCAACTGTCCATGTATGCAAACATAGAACACACCCTTTTTCCATGCCCCCACCACCCGACGATCCCCTAACTTTTTAAACTACCTCACCACTGGCTGGTGTCGGTGTTTATAAGATGGAAACAACAGTACAAAATTCTGACAAGACACCCAAGAAGATGACACAAAAACAGCGCTGTTGTAGAAGCAGTGCTATTGTCATGCCTTCTTGTGTGTCCCGTCAGAATCTTGCACTGTTATTGCCCTCTAATTAGCATGAACCAACTAGCCCAAGCCTCAAACCTAGCAGGCGTCGGTGGCCTTCACCGACCAGTTAGTCGTAGTCCTCCAGGTGGAGTAATATCTACCGGTATTAGACAACCCAATAACAAAGTCGTTTCTCTCCCTCTATTTTTGACCAAGATATGCCAGCACCAGCTGGCAGATGTGAGCTAGTGCTGTTAGTATATGTTGACTGCATATGTCAGCATCAGACAACAGCTTTCAGTAAAGCAGCATTAGCCGGGATTAACAAACGCTAGCCCCTACCAGTTCTACGAGAGCAAGTACAGTAGAACAGGTCATTGGTCCCCATCCGGGACATTATTCAGAGCTTGCAGCAAGCTGCTGCATTGGGGCTCGGGTTGCTCTAAATGAACCAGCAGAATTCAACTTCTTGGCCGTGAAGCAAGAAAACTTGCTTCAGCTTGGCCAGTGGAATTCACTAACAGGTAAGTGACAGCCTCGTGAACATGGCAACTTTCGCATTTACCTAGCAGATATCTACAGACCTCTGTTGGGCATGCTTGTAGTCTTGAATACTTGAAACAGCTGTCAAGTAAGTACAATGTAATTAATTGATTAAGCATAGTCAGCCCTGGAAAGTTGTATGAGAAGATTATCGCACCCAAATCCGCGTTATAATGATGTGATCTTGTGCAGTCAGATGTTTTCAAGGTAGCATTTTATTTATAACATGTTTCAATTGTGTCAGAACAAATTTTGATGCATTTACCATATTTGACCACTGCAGGCCAGCCTTTATAAATATAATTTACAGATTTACACCTCTGATACTGCTATATATCATAGATATCTAAATTCGTTAGCACTTGATAAACCAGTTATTATTCAGTTTACAGCCTCTTGATACAGAAAGGAATGCAACTACAATCATGTGGCCATACCATTACTCTCCAAACCAAAGTGGCTTATGTCATAGCTTTTCCTTATTGCAGTGGCATGGCTAATTGGGCTATTGGGTATTGTGTGCACCGGATAACGTGGCTTCTCGTTATTGCGTACAGTTCTACGGTCCGTACAAAGCTGTCATCACTGACAGGCAAATTTTAAAATGTAACACCTCCACATACAAATGTGGTGATTGAAAGGATTATGAAGACTTCAAGGTGTTCAAGAGCTATCCTGCATCACACTTTGACAGATATATCCTGACCTTGGGTGGAACAAAACGCAGGATACATTGCAGTAGTGGCCACGGCAGGTGTCCACTTCCCAGGCCTTGGAGTCGTTCATACGCCAGAGCTTAATCTGCCGGTCATCAGCACCTGACACCACAAGGGGCGCGGTGGGATGGAACACAGCCCAGTTGACTCCTCGCTCGTGACCTGGGGCAAGATCACGTTCACTTTCAGTCGGTCATCTTGCTGTGAACATTAAGCACTGCAAAGATCTCGAACTCTGCAAGTGGTAGCTTCCTTTTACAACAGTACACTCAAATTGGCCACATTACAGGTGTTGTCCAAAAACAGGAATGTAGCTTAGCCAGTTGCATGGCAGTATGCCAGAACATTACTGAAGAAATTGATAAATAAATAAAGTGACACTGTCACTGCAAGGAAGCTCTTATGAAACAGACTTAACCATTACCAAAATGCACTGTAGGCTTGCTGCTATCATACCTGGTTTAATGTTAAGAGAGATACCACAGAAAGTGCCCCTGTCCTTCTTTACAGCCAACATTAGAGGTAATTTGAGAGCTGGTATCTTTAAACCCACTCTAGTAGATTATTCATATGTTCCTCATCGCCTTTATATCGTATAGCACGGTGCAGACACCAAATGACTATTACTGTAGCTGCCATCAGTCCATTTAACAGCAGCAGTGGCACAATCAAATATCACGAAACTGGTCTATTGTAGGACGAAATGCTTCCGAAAAGTTGTGAAATAAGTCTACTGAAAGATGACATGATTCTGTGCCCTCAATAAAAAAAAACACAGAAGAGGGTAGCTAAAGGCATCAGCAGTAGTGATGAGACAGGAAATCTGCAGGCCAGGAATAAGTTCAGTTGGCAAATGATGGAGCTTACAAGCAGCATGTAGCTGGTAAACTGGATAGATTGTACGAGTAGTTTGAATACCAACATGTCAAGAAGTCGAACAAGGAAAAAGCTTGACAGAGTTACAACAGTGATAATCTGCTGGAAAACCTGCTCCATCACTGACCACAAAAGATGCACTGTGCACGATATTGTGGGCCTTCATCGCGGTTGTCATGTTTGGGTGCTGGCATGATAAGAATTGGCTTTTACGTCATCACATGCAATCTACATATAGAATGAAAAACCACTGAACGGAAGAAAGATGGCAAGTGCATAGTCACAAGGTAGGCTGTACCATCTAGGAAATGTCGCACGACAGCGTCCGACGTTCCAAACAGATCTGTGTGTCCTGGGTTTTTGAGGTGGTCGTCTAGACCCCCCGGTCCTGGAGCCACATTCTTTTTTCGCAGACCACCCAAGTCCCAGACACGGATCGTCTGGTCGAGTGAGGCCGAGACCATCAAGTCTTCAGACGGGTGGAACTGGGCGCACATGACGTAGTGGGTGTGGCCCGTGAGCACGCAGATGCAGGTGCGCGACTGCCAGTTCCACACGCGGATGGTCTGGTCGTCCGACGAGCTCAGGATCCACGGGTACTCGTGGTGGAAGGTGGTCGTACGAATGTAGTCCAGATGGCCTAGCAGCGTGAACATGCATCGCCGCTGCTTGTAGTTCCAGACCTGAGGGCAACAAAACAAGCTGTAATGTTAAAGGAGCATTAACAGAGATTTGGGAAAGTTTTGTATTGTGGCTTTAAATGAAAACATTGGTGTTGATAACCTGAAAGTGAGTATCGCAGTGCTTCGGGACACATTGAATAACTTTTTATCCCACTAACTTAAAAAATACGCTTCGTTTCGATATCGAGGTGACAGTTTCACAATGGCATGTTTGCACAGTCTGAACTAAACCTGTCATGTGGAGACAGCAGCTCATGATTTCCTTTCAGCAGTGTCTGCAACACTGCCAGTTGCGCGTTATTCATGCAAACAATGAGCAATTTTTTTCACACGACGCTCCAACAGTGATGTCGGCCACATTCAGGATGAAGCATTCGCAAACCAAGTGAAGTGCGTCAAGACATCATGTAACGTACAGCCGCATTCACTTCTGTGCAGAGCGCGTGAGCAGCTGGTTTTTTGCTCTGCAAGGCAACACATTGCGGTAGCCTAGGAAACTGTCGCAATGGGTTGGGAGCATGCACAGCTTATGGTCATGCCGACGTCAGAGCAAGGTGTTGCCCTGCAGAGCAGTGGCTTACAAAAACCGGCTGCTTGTCCACTCTCTCTACGCAGACGTGGATGCAGCAGTCCATTGTGGTACGGCTGGCTTGCAAATGTTGGGCAACAAAAACTTCAAAACACCTCGTGCCAGGAAAATGGGATATGTCCCTATCGTGACACCTCCAAATTGCGTCAGTATTCCCTGAAGTCTCAAATTCAAACATCAATGCAACCTTATGTCCCCATCACAAGTAAATAAAAACCCTAGTAATCTGTCCATTGAAGCTACTGGGCACTCTGGCAGCAATGTAGACACGTGTGAATAGCCTTAGAATCGAGAGTTAAAATAGCGTAATAGCGAGAGTTAAACAGTGTAAGACAAGAAACATCAGTGTGAAGCACTCCATAACAAGCTTTGAAACGTCATACACTTACTGACAGAAAGCAGAACAGTAAGATCTCACGACCCTGAAGCCTGTGTGAGGGGGGGGGGGGGGGATGTTTCCTTGCTCTAACTCAAAACATGACGAGCGGTAAGGAGATCGGCCTCATAGCAAAGAGCCTGGCAGACGCGCTAGCACTGGCATAAGGTGTGTATGACGAAGATGTGCGGTGGTAAATAGAGTATATCTGCAATTATGAATCCACAGGCGAGGACCCTGGTATGCGCACACATCGACCAGGCACGTTCCCGAAACCAGCCATACGACAAGCTTCTGCCGACAATTCACAGGATATCTATACGCAAAAGGCACCTATGCAGTGCTTTGAAGATTAGGTCAGAAGGTTGAACGCTTTTCAAAGAGCAGAGGCCGTTATTTTACCTCTCAGTGAACTCTAACGTGGTGCCGTAAGCTAAACCACGGTTTACTGCCGCTAAGCAGCTAACTGACGAGAGACGATACGCTAGTGCCCCCTTAGTTATGTGCAGAGGTGTGCAGGGAGTAAATTCTTGCTTGTCAGCTTCGATGGAGCGAATTTGAGTTTACAGCTACTTTTCCTCATGAGAAATAAGCAGGGCACAAATGAAGACTCGTAGCTCATGGCGTCCGCAACCGGCTTGGGTGTCGCTTCATGTCGGAGGCTTGTTCCGTTCGCTGGGCTGCCTCACCTTGATCTGATAGTCGTCGCCGCCGGAAACAAACAGCGGCTGTTGGTTGTGGAAGCAGATGCCCCTCACGGGTCCGTCGTGCTCGTCGAATTTGTCGAGCAGCGTGCACATTCGGTAGTCCCATAACTGAATGACACCGTTGTGGAGACTCGCCAGAATCCACGGCCTCTTCGGGTGGAAGCTCAGGCCCTTGACGCGAGCCGACTTGGTCTCGAACTTGGTCAGCATTTCGATTCTTGTATCGGCCTAACAATATCAGACGAGACAGCTTTTATTCAGAGAGATCGCTCGCCTGAAAACGTTTACAACGGCGTCGTGGCAAAATCAACAGGCAAGCCAACACCGCTGCCGACCTGTCACTTCCGCTTTCAGCAGCGATTCTGGCTCCACCGGAACTTAAGAAAACACCAAAGACGATAAAAACTTTCAAATAAACTTAATATTACAAACATTTTAGTACTTATAACATCAAAGAACTTTAGATGACGTTGAAATTTATGCGAGATACACTTCTATTGTTATTTTTTTCACTGCTGATGCTGGGTCAGCTGACCTTTTTCGTAGGCGCCCACTTCAAACTCATAAGAAACCAGTGTTTGTTATATTAATATCTTTAGGGGTTTAATATCCCAAAACTACGATATGATTATAAGAGACGATGTAGTAGAGGTCTCCGAAAAATTTTACCACCTGGTGTTCTTTTATAAACCACTGTTCTATGCTATTAGTTTCTGAACTTGCAGAGGGCCACATTAGTTCTGCATCAGTTTCAATGCCGTGAATGTTCTTATTAGTCACGAGCCTGCCTGCCTGCCTGCCTGCCTGCCTGCCTGCCTGCCTGCCTGCCTGCCTGCCTGCCTGCCTGCCTGCCTGCCTGCCTGCCTGCCTGCCTGCCTGCCTGCCTGCCTGCCTGCCTGCCTGCCTGCCTGCCTGCCTGCCTGCCTGCCTGCCTGCCTGCCTGCCTGCCTGCCTGCCTGCCTGCCTGCCTGCCTGCCTGCCGCCTGCCTGCCTGCCTGCCTGCCTGCCTGCCCTGCCTGCCTGCCTGCCTGCCTGCCTGCCTGCCTGCCTGCCTGCCTGCCTGCCTGCCTGCCTGCCTGCCTGCCTGCCTGCCTGCCTGCCTGCCTGCCTGCCTGCCTGCCTGCCTGCCTGCCTGCCTGCCTGCCGCCTGCCTGCCTGCCTGCCTGCCTGCCTGCCTGCCTGCCTGCCTGCCTGCCTGCCTGCCTGCCTGCCTGCCTGCCTGCCTGCCTGCCTGCCTGCCTGCCTGCCTGCCTGCCTGCCTGCCTGCCTGCCTGCCTGCCTGCCTGCCTGCCTGCCTGCCTGCCTGCCTGCCTGCCTGCCTGCCCTGCCTGCCTGCCTGCCTGCCTGCCTGCCTGCCTGCCTGCCTGCCTGCCTGCCTGCCTGCCTGCCTGCCTGCCTGCCTGCCTGCCTGCCTGCCTCCTGCCTGCCTGCCTGCCTGCCTGCCTGCCTGCCTGCCTGCCTGCCTGCCTGCCTGCCTGCCTGCCTGCCTGCCTGCCTGCCTGCCTGCCTGCCTGCCTGCCTGCCTGCCTGCCTGCCTGCCTGCCTGCCTGCCTGCCTGCCTGCCTGCCTGCCTGCCTGCCTGCCTGCCTGCCTGCCTGCCTGCCTGCCTGCCTGCCTGCCTGCCTGCCTGCCTGCCTGCCTGCCTGCCTGCCTGCCTGCCTGCCTGCCTGCCTGCCTGCCTGCCTGCCTGCCTGCCTGCCTGCCTGCCTGCCTGCCTGCCTGCCTGCCTGCCTGCCTGCCTGCCTGCCTGCCTGCCTGCCTGCCTGCCTGCCTGCCTGCCTGCCTGCCTGCCTGCCTGCCTGCCTGCCTGCCTGCCTGCCTGCCTGCCTGCCTGCCTATCTATCTATCTATCTATCTATTATGAAAAAAGGCATAGGCGCGTTACCTGTTCAAATTACGTTAAACTGGTAGGTAAAGAGCCCCTGAAGTTGAACCGCGGGATGTTATTACGTCCAAAAATTAGGCTATATCTATCAAGAAGATGAAAACTTTACTTCATCAAAGGACTTCGTGATCTCTGAAACAGGGCAACGGCGAGTGGCCAACCCCTATTCCAAGGCACCACTGGCCCTCGCCAACCTTTCGGCCCTCACGACCAGCCATAGGTGGTTCCCGAGGGCAGGGCTAGGCAGCTATGCATTATACGTTTTAAAGTAAATGAATAATTATTTGATGTAAATGACAATTCTTGACAAGCAGGGCCTACGAACTGACACACGGACTCGCTCCGTAATACGTTTATTCATGAGTTCAGGAAGTCTGCGGGACAACATGAAAGGAAAATAACAAAAATAAAAACGTTGCCGAACCACAGATGGCAACCTGCGGTATTAAGTACACTGGCAACGAATGAAAAAGAAACTGGTTGATGGCCTGCTAGCAGCTGAACGTCTGAAATTACAATAAGCGTGCCTTTTTAGTTCCTAACCTGGCATATTACTCTGAATCTATAGTCCCTATTACGGTCTTCTGTAGCCACTTAATTTTGTGTGGTAGTTCTTGCACCATTTCGACGAGTTCATGAATGATGAGTATGTGATGTTTATAGTTTTCAGGAGCTTTGGGGAAGCTATTTTGTCGTTCCCGTGGTTACTTTTGGTGGAACACAGAAAAACAGTGTGGATTGTCGGTGGGCCACACCGGAGCTACCGAAGCCATACATGTCATTCTGTAACAAAAGAAAGGCAGCGAACACCAGCCGATGATGACCAGTACAAAATTTTCTTGCTAATTAAGGTGAATGTCCCAACTCACTCATCAAACGCGAAAAATTGACCGTAGGCATCGGCGGCACCAACACGAGTGTTGCGAAAAAAATCCCTGTTACGTGATGAAGTCACCAGATGGCGTCGTCACGACGCCCGCAAGTCTTCAGAATTTGCCGCTATGAGAAGTCACGTAACTATCACGTCGTCATCAGGTTTCTGACGTAAGTGGCTGCCGGAGGCCTCTGATGTCACATTCCAAGAACTGCCTAGTCCCTATCCGAACTTCCGTAATGACCGAGACAAATGGCAGACCATTGTGAGACACACGTCATCACTGTGAGCTGAAAGACTAGATAAATCTAAGTAACGCAGTTTCGTCTAATGGATATCGTAGGGAATTCTACCGGTTGTGTGGGCACGTGCTATTGCAACCTTTAGCGTTGTCTCGTGGATAAGCCGCACTTAGAGTTAACAGCCGCTGAGCGGTAGGTGGCGCAGCACTCGCATGTCATTTTCCCTATAATTATCATTACAGTTAGCACGGTAGCGACAGCAGCGACGCCTGGTGGCAAGAGGTGGCCGGACAGAAACGATTGGAGAGTATCTCTGGTGAGTAACGGCTGGCGCAAACGGTCGTCTCCCGTGGGGCCCTCGTGGTGAGTCGAGCGTTGGCAACGCCGCCACCTTCGCGTTACCTTGTGTTTGTTATGTTGAATGAGCGTATTGGAATATTGTATAGTGTGTTAATCACTAGTGACGCATTCGTTCGGCTGCCGATATTTGTCGATGTGAAAGTTAGTCGAATAAATGTACACGGTGTTTTGGTTTGGTTCGAGCGTGCGTCTGCTGTGTCCGTCCGCTCCGACAGCATACGTGCCGCCTCTTTTCGAGACCCCACAGGGTTAAAGGTGGGCCGATCCCGGAGACAACACAGAAATTTAAGGCCACTATGCCTCCGATCCCGGAGGTAGTGCAAGACTGCGTTGGGGGCAGAAAGCTTACGAGGAAGGGGAGGGGGGTGATCCAAAACAATCGATTCAGAAGGAAGCCAAGAAAATGACTTTCACCAACCAGTTGTCTTAGGCAATGCCTAAAGGGTTGTGCGACGTTTGCCTGCCGAAGCGCAGCAGCAGCCAGAAAATTCAGAAATCGCTATTTTACTGCTATAAAACGCCCCGATAGCCACAAAAATCGCACCAAAGACAGTTCCGTGAACTTCGGTTGCCTAAGCCTTATAGTATACATTTCTTTGCTGGAAACTAGTGGCATCGCCAGGGAATAATACAACGAGCCCCCGCCCCTTACCCTCCCTGAATTGTTTTTGCTTAATCATGGCATACACAGTGAAAAACAAATATTTCAAAAAGGTTCCCCTCATCCTTGCGAAAAAAAAAAAAAAAAAATCTCCCTACGCCACTGTCAGAAGCACCTTGCGGGTGTGGCTTCACGGCACCATTGGGCACGCTGCTGTGAAGACAGATATACAGGAATAATTGTCTGCTGTTAGAAGTTAGCATTTGTTGTCAGTGAGATTTGACTGTTTGGAATATTAGCGAAGCGTAAAATAGTCAACGTGGTGGGGATGAAACACTATAAACCCAAGCGTCATGACGTTTTAGTTCTTCGGCAAGCAAGTTCCAAGCATTTTTTTTTTGTTTTTTGTGTGGCACCGTGAATTCTGTCGCAATGTCCGGCCAAACTAGCTGAATTTGAACTGTTGCTATATGCGAATTTACTTAAGTATTGTTTCACGGGAACTTCAAATCATCTTCGAAGTATGTTTTCACAACAATGTGGCCCATTCTGTCTATAAGAAAAAAAGGTATCATCGGTACTCAAATGAACTTCTTTAAGTGTTTTTTTTTTTCCTGATAACACCACAACATCGATGAAATATTAAAGTTACGCAAGTGCTATACAGTATCAATACGGTCGACTGAGAAATTAAGGAGATGACTGTTGTTTTCACGTCATCGTAGGCGAATGTATAAGAGAACGTGCGCCTTTTTGAAGAAACGATATAAAAATTCCCGGTTAACTCTCGAACGAGAGAGCTCCGGGTTTCGTGCTTAGAAGACTGCTCACCTTACATCTTGGTTGTGTGCAGAATTTTTTTCTAGTGGAGAGCATGGGGGGGGGGGGGGGACCTTGATTTAAAGAAGTAGGGGTCGGTCAGGCAAATAGTCATTTACCGTTATGTATGCATGGCGAAAAAAAAATTCCGGAAGATGGGGGCGGGAACGGGCTTGGAGTACAACCACCAGGCTGCGCCCCCGATTTCATCATCATCATCATCAGCCTGACTACGTCCACTGCAGGACAAAGGCCTCTGCCATGTTCCGCCAGTTAGCCCGGTCCTGTGCTTGCCGCTGCCAATTTATACCCGCAAACTTCTTAATCTCATCTGCCCACCTAACCTTCTGTCTCCCCCTAACCCGCTTCCCTTCTCTGGGAATCCAGTCAGTTACCCTTAATGACCAGCGGTTATCCTGTCTACGCGCTACATGCCCTGCCCATGTCCATTTCTTCATCTTGATTTCAGCTATGATATCCTTAACCCCCGTTTGTTTCCTAATCCACTCTGCTCTCTTCTTGTCTCTTAAGGTTACACCTACCATTTTTCTTTCCATTGTTCGCTGCGTCGTCCTCAACTTAAGCTGAACCCTCTTTGTAAGTCTCCAGGTTTCTGCTCCGTAGCTAAGTACCGGCAAGTACCGGCCCCCGATTTACATTAATTGAAACAATTTACATCGTCCATTGTCTCCAAAATGGCGGGCGCGCGGCAGATTTCCGCCGCGCGTCCGCCATGTCGGATGCTATGCATCGTCATTGTCAACGAGTAGTTTTTATTTAGGTACCCGTAAAAGAGTTACTTTTCATTTTGCACACCGTTGAGCTTTCAGCGCAGTTTCTTCGACAGGACAGGTGCTGTATGTACTATGACTACATCTCCCTCTGCCACCAACAGGAAGAGACCTAACAAGCCAAATCAATAACGCGATAATTAACTGCACTATAGATGGAGAGAACCGGCAATAATTACGAACGATACAAGGGAGAACGTTTTTAGACTTCGCCCTCGCGGAAGTGCGACCGCTAAGGCCGGGAGTCGAACTCGCGTCCTCAAGTTTAGCGGCGCTAAACCTATGCCGCTAATCAACCATTACGCGGTTACCAGACGCCCTCTAGTGAATATTGATATATTCTACCCGAAGCAACATATTTCACACGTACGAGCGAACGAAGCACCCGCAGTTCGAGAAAAGAGCCCTCGCTGATTGACGAACGTTTATTGGACACATTTTTTTTTTTACAAGCTTAGGTATTTTTCAGCATCTGCAGGAAATGAATAATGTACATGGCTAATGTTTAACACTGCCTATATACACATGAGCTTGCGGTACACTACCTGAAGCTAAATGATACAGAAAAAAAAGAAAAAAAAAGAGTACAAAGTTCAGTTGGTCGACTTTCGCGCGAAGAAACGCAGCGTGCCCCCGCACTCCTTGCAGTCCGCGCCGGTGTTATCGTTCTTCCTGGGAATGTGCCAGCAGCGGGTACAGCGCACTTTGTACTTCTTGTACCTGCGTCCACCGCGGCGAGAAGCAAATAAAAAGCGAGCAATTAGTTAACACGACTTATAGTCACAAAACGCCAGCTAAGGTCGTCGTCATTTGAAAGAAGGTCTGTCCAATATCCAGTGGCGCACCAACTGTTTCGCGAGTGGGGGGGGGGGGGGGCAAGCCTGCCTCACTTGTTAGCCGTGATATTATATATATATAAGCAAATTCATCAAACCTGCAATGTCAGCAAAATTTCACCATGTTGTAACATAGCCTCGTAACGTTTTCATTCTCCCGTAGGAACATAATTGAGTAACTACTGTTGTGATGGAAAACTACAGCTTACTTGTTCGTTTTCACAGCGTGCAGCCAAGAGTGACCACTGTCAAAAGGGGGGGGGGGGGGCTCAGCCGCCCCCTCCTATCTTTTCTCAGTGGGTGGGGTGGGGTGGGGGCTTAAATGTGAACAAACTATCGGAACTATTAGACAAGACAACTTAACGAAAATTTTTCAAAAAATGAAGGGAAGAAAGTCGTGTTCAGACCAGGCAGCATGCCTGAGAGCCCCGCTTCATATAAACAGCACGACATCACAGAGCTCGAAAAAAAAAGGCAGCTTTGCTCCCTATAGACCACATCAATACAAGGCGAAGTATTCGGCGAGGCCACGTACCTGATGCCGCACGCGTTGCACAACGGCGTGCCGTCTTCGGCGTCTCTCCACAGCGGCGTTAGCTTCGTGGCGCAAGACGCGCACTGCTTGTATAAAACTGAAGAAAACGAAACAGAAAACACCCATTCACAGTTCACATTCAACGGTCCCTTCAATTAACCGTCGTAAACTTTTTCGTATGTAGCCCCGCCGCGATGGTCTAGTGGCTAAGGTACTCGGCTGCTGACACGCAGGTCGCGGGATCGAATCCCGGCTGCGGCGGCTGCATTTCCGATGGAGGCGGAAATGTTGTAGGCCCGTGTGCTCAGATTTGGGTGCACGTTAAAGTACCCCAGGTTGTCGAAATTCCCGGAGCTTTCCACTACGGCGTCCCTCGTAATCTTATGGTGGTTTTGGGACGTTAAACCCCACACATCAATCAATCAATCAATCAAACTTTTCGTATGTATGTCCTTAAACTAGTTTTGCAACAAAGCAACTTCCTGTCTCGGGGGGTTGGTGGGGGGTGGAATTGGCGATTTCTAGATAGCTATACACGAGGCTATCCTTAAAGGGGGGATGACAAAGGTTCGTCCCCCTCCTTAGTTTGCCATTGAGTGGGGGGCAGGCAGACGTTTCGGACCCCACTTTAATGTGACTATTATAGGGGGAGGCGTCCGCCCCTCCTGCCCCCCCCCCTCTCTAGCCCTGTGCGCACCCCTGTGGTTCTGTAAAAAGACATCCCCCCCCCCTTCCGAAGCAACAGTGGACCCTAAAAGTGTGCCAGTTTGGGCTAGTTGGTATGCCATGACGATAGTTATAGCGCGAGACAAAAAGGACACGAAGGACACGAGCGCTCGTGTCTGTGTTCTATGTCTCTTTGTCGTCTTTCTGTTCTCGCGCTATAACTATCGACAGTGGACCATTTGGCCATTGATTTTCTTACATTTACTATAGATAGAATTACTGCGGCGCAGCGATTGTTCAGCCACTGTGGGAATGACGGGTATGTACACGGATTCGCCTTGAACCTCCGTGCCTCGTACCTCCGGCCTCGAACGTATAGTTGCACCTTCGTTTATATGTGTTTTGGCTTTTTCTTTCGGGTAAAAGAATTTCTCGCTCTGAACATCATCACCTTATTTGAATTCGTCTGCCTAAAAGGATCAAAGTGGCGAGGTAGACCGCTTGAAGCCGCTTTGTCGTAAGATGAAGCGGCTGCAAGCTACAAAGAGCAGAAAAAGGGTTACAGGTAAATCACCGTACAACTGAAATGCTATGCGTTGCAGCTCCCGCAGCCGCTAGCGTCAGATTTCTTTCTAGTGTGAAACTACGCAATTGACAACCAGGATGAGATTCATTTTCTACAAGTCATCTTTGGCATCGATCAAACCATGAATGATATGCAGGGGTTTAACGTCCCAAAACCACCATATGATTACGAGAGACGCCGCATAGTGGAGGGCTCCGGAAATTTCGACCACCTGGGGTTCTTTAACGTGCACCCAAATCTGAGCACATGGGCCTGCACCAATTCCGCCTCCATCGGAAATGCAGCCGCCGCAGACGGGATTCGATCCCGCGACCTGCGGGTCAGCAGCCGAGTACCTTAGGCACTAGACCACCGCGGCGGGGCATCGATCAGACCAGGTACAGTGCGATTGAACGGGAATAATTACGTCAAAACGGAGACAGCAATCGGCAGAACACACAAATGGTGCTACACAAGTGCCGTTTCGTTATACTAATGTTATCATGTGCGTGGGTAAGCAGCAGCAGCCGCAGTCCCAGAAATCAAGCTTCGGGAGCCCGATCAGCCGTATCGACTTTAAAGTGAAGCTTCAAAACGAAGTGTGGTGACGTCATAATAGCTGTGCTAAAAAAAACAAGCACAAAGACATTCGCATATTCACTGATAGTTATGGCTATCGCGATCTAAACATGGCGGTCACCAATAGTTACTCTAGCCTTTTTCGTTCTAGTCAGTATCTCATAACACGCACCGAACAATGCCCCGAGTTTCAGATTACATCCGTTATTTTGTTTGAATCAAAGCACCTATATTCATAATGAATAGTTACGTATGCCGGCAACGACCCCAGCTATATAAATCTTAGTTTAACCAACGCTTCAAATGTCTCTTCCCCGTCTTGACAGCTGACCACTTAAGTATTCATCCGTTTCAAACAAGTTTCCATGACACGGGGACACCATTTATAGTGTTTTTGCTAGGCGAAAACACTGGCATTTCATTGCAATGTCATCCCATGAAGTCATTCTTATCTACACTTGGAATGACGACCTCGCGGACCAAATATGGCTCGGGAGATCAAGCAAAGCAATGATCGTGTGTGCGAAGCCGCCGCGTAACCATTGGCACATAGGCCATAAGCGACACATCGGCGCAAACAGTGCAGGAGGGGGAGGTGGGGTCAAACCACTCACTATCACCGCTTTCTTAAACGAAGAGATAAAAAAAATTGCCCCCCACCCCCACCCCACTCGGAACACATCAACGTTACTGGAATAAACCTCGGAACAAATTTCTGGCTACGACTCTGGCCACGGCCGGTTTGGAGGCGCGCTCTCGCTCCTCCAGATCGGCCATGCTCTGGCTCTGCGTCTTTAAAGGCCTGACCACACGTATCCTTTCGAACGCGTCGGTGCGTATCTTTTTGACTTGGCGCCAAGCCCTTTCTCATATGGAGAGAGAGAGCAAGCAGTTCTGCGTAGCCACGTACCCTCTCTTCATAGGGAGAGGGCAGAGCGCCGCGTCAAGCTACGCGCTGCAACTGACACGTGTGGTCAGACCTAAACACTACACTACACCATCAGATGGCGCCACCAAACAGGACGCTGAACTCAACAACTCGGCAAAAGGCAGCCATGCGCATGTACGGACAAAGCTACGCTGTTAACAGCCGCGAATTTACAAGGTAGTAAGGAGAGCCATAAAATGCGGCGCCAAGAGCCTCAGTTTCTTTCACCTTGCGGTTCAGCGTCCTCCCTTCTGGCGAACTCAATTTCGTCCTCGGATTCGCTTAGCTCGGGTCGTAGAACGCCTCGTCGCTGTGTGTGGCTGCAACGGACAAATAAGAGCGTTGTTGAAAACGTTACTGCATTTAGCTGGGCTTTTTTTTTTTTTGTACTGAATGAATTCTTCCACAGTACTAGCGAACACGCAAAGGGCTACAGACACGGACACGTGCCCACCTTTCGCAAGTTCACTGCGCAGACTATGTTGACAAACGAAAAAAAAACTGTTTCTCGTTAATTCAGCAATAGTGGTAGTACCACTTCAAAGGCACAACAAAGTGAAACACCACGTCATTTGGCACTGATGGCTTATCATCCGTGAACAGAATTGTCTTCACTGCCGCCATCTTGGTTTTATTGCATTAGAAGAGCGAATGGAGATTCAAATACTTCTGTCTTGAATTTCGCGCCGAAGCCTCTATACCTTATTGTCAGTATGACGTCACAAATTTGTTTCTTTTCACATATGCGTCACACCTACCCGGCATATCTTATCCTAAACACTGCTATGCGCAGTCTTTTAACCTGACGCATCTTTTTTTTTTTTTATTGATAAATTCCTGTTGAGTTAGTGCGGAAACCTGCAGGTGGCGACGCCACCTGCATCTTTTTTTTTCCCCGCGCTCATTCTCGTTTACCAAGTGCCTTCTCGCAGTAACAAAGGTTCTGATTGATGATTGATTGATTGATTTGTGGGGTTTAACGTCCCAAAACCACTATATGATTATGAGAGACGCCGTAGTGGAGGGCTCCGGAAATTTAGACCACCTGGGGTTCTTTAACGTGCACCCAAATCTGAGCACACGGGCCTACAACATTTCCGCCTCCATCGGAAATGAAGGTTCTGATGTCGTTAGGCTGATGCAAGTATTAATATAAGTCCAATCGTTTCTCGTACACGGGAATACACATACGCCTGTGGTTGTAAACTAACACTCGATTCATTTGATTGATATAGCGGACTTGACGTCTCAAAACAACTATATAATTATGAGAGACGCCGTAGTGGAAAGCTCCGGAAATTTCGACCACCTGGCGTTCTTTAGGGTGCACCCAAACCTGAGCATACGGGCCTACATCATTCTCGCCTCCGTGGAAAATGCAGCCGGGGTCAACTAACACTCAAATAGCGATGGAAGAGAGGGTATATATATCAAGCAGTTTTGGCAAGAAAATCACCACTGCAACTAAGCCGCCACCGGAATCGCCAGTTTTTATTTGTTTTTCAATTTTTTTTCGCGCTTCTGTCTGGGCGAAGCGGGTCTTGATAAGAAGCGATAAGAGTAGGAACCGATCAGTTGCGCATCCCCAATCGCGAATCCACATCGACATTTTAAGCGACTGCTGCCGCTGCCAATGACACTTTTTTTCAACCCGAGGTAGCATGAAGCTGTTTTCATGCTCTTTTATTTCATGCATTCTTTCGGACAAACAGAAATAAAGCCCTTCCGTTCACTGATTTGTGTACGCCGGTATGACATTTTCTTTCTTTGTATTATTGATGGTCGTCTGTTGATGAATTCAAGAATAGAAGTTTGAAAAAGATGTTTTGTATCTTAGAGCGATGAGTAAGCCATCTCACTTGTATTGATGCTCCATCTTGAGCTTCGGCTGTCCATTGACCATCTCCAGCCGCATGCGAACTATGGCACCCTTGAAGTTTGGGTCATCTGCAGGGGGACTCTTTTTCGGAACCGCCTTCTTCCGACGACCGCAGCTCGGAGTCGCCGCCGCGCTCGGCGGATGTACTCCTGGAGTACCGCTCGGGCCCCTCGCGACGTCCGGACCGTCTGACGTAGGAGGCGACGACGCCCCGGCGGATTCAGTCGGTGGCTGCTTCCTCGAAGCTTCCACAGTGGTCGAAGCAGCAGAGCCCTCGCCGCTAGAGGCCTCCTGGACGGAGACCCGAACGGAAGTGTCCGCTGCTTCGACGAGAGGCATGAGCGACGACTCGAAGTTCGACAACGAGTCCACCGACGGGAACGGCGACTTGGCAGGGCTCGTCTCTGGGGTCAAGCAGCACGCTGCGCCGCCGACTTCTTTCAAGTCGACATCTCGGTAATTGGAAGGCACGGCCGCTTCGCGAGCCACGAGCTCTTCGGCCATGCACTGAATCTTCGAAAGCCTTTCCGCCTCGCCGTAGGGGTCGAAAGGTTTCGAGCCTAGGTCTCCGGAACACAGCTCCATGGGCCGTGAAGGCAGAGAGAAAAGTCCGCAGCTGACGTCGACCGGTGTGTAACGGGTGCCGGCCACGGCGTTTCTTGAACGAGAACGGATTGCCTCGCTCGGGAAATAACGCTGGGTACCCTTGTCAGACAGCGGGCTGCAGAGATACGGCTGGTACGATTCGCAATAACGGTCGTCGTGCGGAAAGACCTTCTGTTCGCCGGAGCCGTCGAAGCACTGCACGTCAAGTAGAGCGACCGGCGTGAGTTGTGGCGCAGAGTGCTCACAGGGGACGAAACGGAACTCCGAAGAGCCGAAATCATTCGGCAAAGTCATGCCTACTCCTCTGACGCTCTCTCTTTCGAAGGTGCGAATCGTGCGAGCGGTTCCGTCTCGAATGACGAAGCAGAATCGTGACGTCTGGCGCCCCGAGAGATGACTTTGCGGAGACAACACAAGCTGTAGGACTGGACTCGGTTCCGCGCTTGACGAAACACAACACGCTTGTCGTCCGACGCCTCCAGAAGTGGCGGCGAGGTCGGGGCCTGAGTGGTAACCACGAAGCAGCCGAGATACCTGCGTATGTTTCGATACAGCAGCTGCAATGAACTGATCGTGATCATGCGCTCGGCACGGCGCTTTTCGGCGCCCGAGTGTGATAAGACTGCGCAATCATCTCTCGCCACTCATCTGCTGCGCTTTCGCCGAGCAAGATCTGAGTCGTCCCCCCGGCCAACTATTGTATGCCTCATAGGGGCCCTGCAACACGTCTGGAGCATGGTTATAAAACGCTGCCGATCGTTAGTTGGGGCTCCCGACAATGCGCCAGTCAAATATTTAGCGCTCACGCGACCGGGAATTCACAATAAATAACCGAGTTCAGCTAAATATTGCTTTCTCATTTTTCGACAAATCACAGAAAACGATCAAAAATCCCTCCATCGGCTATTGGCTGATTTGAACATGGCGCGCTCGCTCGTTACAGAGATCGCCGTGGGAGGCCGCAGCTTGTCCACGCGTGCGCGCACGATCGCATCGAAAAAGTCGAGCATTTGAATAAGACAAAAAGAAAGAAGTGCTCAAGGTCACAAGGCGCAGGTGGCGCCCTTCCCTTCCCTCTCTGCTTAGCTTCCAGCGCTTTCGTCGGGACGAGAGAAGAGAGAAACATGCGACAAATCTTTGTATCTCCACTCGCACTGGACGGATTCTTATAATTTTTGCGGCGTTCAATTCGTAAGGCAAAAAACTTTTCCAGTGAATTAATTTCATGGTTACTTAAAAAAAAGTGTTTCAGGGCCCCTTAAACGCAAATTCCTACAGCGAAGTCAGAATCGAAAGAAATATGTAGGCAATGGGCGCAGGATGTTTATCGACAACAAAGCTTTGCGCGTGTCCCAGGTGCAGTAGCTAAAGGCTTGTAGTCGCTAAGCCATAAACGTGAAAACTTCGTTGTTATGACTGCACTCATCTAATGAAATTCCTTTCTATGGCTTCAGACTGCTTTGTAATTTTGTAAAGTTGGCGATATCCGACAAATTCTCCTGCAAGTGCAACCAATGATTCTTATACGCACGTGTTCAGTTACGCGTTTTAAATAAATACTTGCAATCTCTTGGAAAGTGATGATAAAACGATAATAAAGTGATAATATTACCACAAGAGGTAAGGCTGATATCACGAGAACAAAAAAAGAGAAAGAATTCGGAAGATCTCCCGTACCTGGAAATCGACGTTATGCGAAGCATGTGAAGGGAAGGTGGGCACGTTGCAATTTTTTTTTTATTGAGCGACCCGTCATTAAATGACGCTATAAATGCATGTACAAATTTTGCACGCACAGACATATGTTGAAGAGTTGCAGATGTTTATATAAGCAGTTATTTGCACTTGCGCAACGATGCCAACTGAAACATGCGTATTAGCAACACCAGAAGCTGATGTGAAGCGCTGATGCTCGCGAGGATGCTGGCCCTGAAGTCTGCTACATAGCACAATTGACATTAACCTGACGTGACAACTGTATCAAAGGAGTACAAATGTAATGTTTTTAAAATTGGGTAAGCAGAACTACAACCAGTATTGACATTTCACGAAGATTAGCGTCTATTTTAAAAGTAGTTCCGAGACCTGGCGTAGCCCTGTGGTAAAATGCTTTATTGCAACGCAAAATGCTTGGTTTCGATTCCAGCTGGAACCCTGACATTTATTATTTGCGGGGACTCGCTCGCTGAATTCCGTGCCGACCGGCTGTGCCCTCGCGATCTCCGACGTCAGCGTAGCTCTAGCCGACTGGGCTGACTATACGCCATCTCCTGACGCCGATCTTCGACGACAGCGTAGCTCTGGTCTACTGGACTTGTTCTACGCTATATCCTGACGCCGACAAAAGCTCTCGCCAGAGGTGCCCCGACCTCAGACTCCTGCAACCGCGACCATCTTTTCTTTCTTCTCCTTACTTCCGTCGTTGGCTGTCCCTGCGCCTCGCTCTCTCCTTCGTCTCTCTCTATCTCTTTCCCCTCGCTCTCTTCTTCGTCTCTCTCTATCTCTTTACCTTTTAGTCCCTTCTCTAACCCCATCCGTCATGAGCTACTGTTGGGGTGTCCTCCCCATGAGAGACAGTTACGGGGCTCACTTTTCTCTTCTTTTCACTTAAAATCACCCCCGCCCCCCTATTTATTCTTTGCATTAGTCGGGTCGACACTGCCGATGTCGGGTATTTCTTAACCCTCACGTGTTAGAATTGTCCATGTGTTTCTCGTCGTTCCTGGGTATAGATAGTAAGTGTTAATCACCTGTGGCACATACCCGCATACCAGCGGCACATACCCGCCCATAGGTATGTACCACTGCCTGACGGGAAGTGTTTGACAACGTAAGCGACGGGATTGTGACATTATTCATGTTTTGACCAGCGCGTAAGATTCGTCAAACCATGTTGCCCTTTTTTTGTTTGGTTCACTCCAAGTTAAGGGGATGACCACGAGTGCGCCCAAACGTAAGCGGCTAGATAGATAGATAGATAGATAGATAGATAGATAGATAGATAGATAGATAGATAGATAGATAGATAGATAGATAGATAGATAGATAGATAGATAGATAGATAGATAGATAGATAGATAGATAGATAGATAGATAGACAGACAGACAGACAGACAGACAGACAGATAGATAGATAGATAGATAGATAGATAGATAGATAGATAGATAGATAGATAGATAGATAGATAGATAGATAGATAGATAGATAGATAGATAGATAGATAGACAGACAGACAGACAGACAGACAGACAGACAGACAGATAGATAGATAGATAGATAGATAGATAGATAGATAGATAGATAGATAGATAGATAGATAGATAGATAGATAGATAGATAGATAGATAGATAGATAGATAGATAGATAGATACGCTCAAAGTCACCGAACTTCGCTAAGAAATGCTTCGCGTTTAAAACCGCGCTGGCAATCGCTGCAGTCAGGCTTATAGTACGATGCCACCAACTCGCACGCGCTCTAGAGGCTTAATCACACATACCAGATGAATTTCGCCAGCGCGTGGCGTGTGAACTTGGAGCCGCGCCCTCTACCTAAGAAAATAGAAGGCGCGCGGCCACCCAAACTGGTAATAATATAGTGCATGTACTTACTAGTGTGCCGACCGCGGCCGTCACGATGGCACGGAGAATTATGCCTTCCACCGGCGGCCACCAGACGGCGATAGCCGCAGGGACCGTGCTTTGCCGAGCCAATGGCCGAGCGGCCCGAGCGGAGTCGTGTCGGTGATGTCTCTACCACGGCCGCGGCCGTCTCTCTACTATGGTGAACTAGAATATGATCTAGTGGCGCGACCGGCAGGGCTATGGCGTCAGCTTTCACGTGGATGCCAGCAGATGACGTTGCTGCTACTTTTCATGCCGAGTACCAAGTACCTAAGGGAACACGAAATATACGTAACGAATAAAGGCAACAGGAATGCAGCAGTCATGAAAAATAGGGCACAGTGGAATTACAATAGGTATGATGTTGTGAGAGGAATATGGAAAGGGGTCATGGTTCCTGCTCTGACGTTCGGCAATGCGGTCTTGTGTATGAGATCAGAAGTTCAAGCAAGATTAGAAATTAAGCAACGTGGAATAGGTAGGCTTTCTTTAGGAGCTCACGGGAATACACCAAATCAGGGAGTACAAGGTGATATGGATGGACATCATTTGAGGGCAGGGAAGCTAGCAGCAAGATGAAATTTGAGAAGCGATTGAGAGAAATGGGGTAAGAGCGTAGGGCTAGGAAGGTTTTCAGCTACTTACACATGAAGAATGTCGATTCAAAATGGAGGAAGCGAACCAGAAAATTGACGGGTAAATACTTAGGAAACAACAGGGGGCCAAACCAAAAAGAACTTTCGGTTAAGAAGAAGGTGAAGGAAACGGAGACCAACATGTGGAGAATCGGCATGATTAAGAAGTACGCACTAGAGGTCTATTGAACTTTTAAGCAGGATATTGCGAAGGAAATGATCTATGATAATACTCGGGGTAGTTCTCTTCTGTTTGAGGCCAGGACGGGAGTATTGCGAACCAAGACATGTCCGGCCAAATATGAAGGGGTAGACACGGTATGCAGTGCGTGTGGAGAGGAGGAGGAAACTGCCGAACACTTGATAATGTTCTGTAAAGGGCTTCAACTCTATAGTTCAGGATGATGGCGCAGAGTTTTTCCAAGCACTGCGGTTTAGGGAGAGGGAGGGCAAAATAGACTTTAAGCGGGTAGAATTAACTAAAAGAAGGTTATCTGATTGGTGGCTAAAGTCAAGGCACGAGTGATAATTAAACCCTTCAGTGCAAAGTACCATTCCTCAACTTCACTATTATTTTTTCATTTTTTTTAATTTTTAGGCACTGCGCCGTGCTCCCGACCGGGCTGCAGAAATTAGGTGCCTTTTTCCTCTTCTAACCACTACCACCACCTATTTAAAGAAAAAAAAAGATAAATCTAGTTGTTGGTTCACTAAGTACTAAGGCTAGGTGGCGTTAGCCGCCGTCCGATCTAAAGGGTAAAGCTACATCAATCCATCCATCCATCCACCCATGCCAGCTTCGGCTACGTTGCCGGGCCGTCAAGGACTCCTGCAGAGCTGTGGATGTGCACGGTTACTTCTAACGCACGTTTGCTTTCTGGTCCGTGCAGGCGTAAAATTAGGAGGTTAGTTACTGCGTGGACAACCTGGCAAAAGCGTTGGCACGACATCAGGAACCAATGCCGGTTTTCCTCGGGGAACGCGAACTTCACTGTCGTTTATCACGTGCACGTATTCGCACAGGAGGAATCTTGGCTCGAAACGATGTTCGCACACTGCCGAAGTTTCGGTCAGGGGCTTGTCAATGCTCCGGAGGTCGCGCTCCCAGTTTCTGCGGAGATCGCCATCCCCGGGAGCTGCAAACAGCGACGCCTTCGGAGCGCCCCGTTCACCGATTGGGCAACCCGGAGCAAAGCAATGAGTATCCGTTCTCCACTTCGACACGTCGCGAGCTACATGTTTGTTGATGCAGGATATCTCACTAAGTACAGACTCCACCCCGGTACTCCACCCCGGAACTCCACCCCGGAACTCCACCCCGGTACAGACTCCACCCCGGCAGCAGATCGCACCGGCACACGCGCAGTAGAGTAGCTTAATTGTATAGAAGTGGAAATGCAATAATCCAACCAAGAGGCGCTCATCGGCTTCGCTCTCGTACGCGGCCCACAAGAGCGCGTGCACCACAAGAACACTTGTTGAGAAGCACGCACAAGGACCGGAGGAAT